TTCAGATACCCAACAGAATTCGATGTCCAACGGGTCTCTTGAAGTTATGTTTTCTGCTTCTGGGCGTCTGATAGGGCGAAAAATCACTTGTTTAGGGTCAATGGCCATGACCACTGAAATAGGGCATGTTTGGTTTCCGATAAGATCAAGTGAAATTGCGTGTTCGCAGTTGGTGGCATCACGAATGTGGTAGGGTTTTCCAGGTCGAAGAGGTTTCTTCTCTATGTCGAGCACAACATCTTCAGATTTGGAACACAAGGCGAAGAGAAGGAAAAACAGTGCAAGTAATGCAGCCTTCATGATGTTAATTTCTTGAGTTTTTGTGCCATGGGAGATTCAATAATGGATTCAATTTATAGATTTGGAGAGAGATAGATGAACTGAAGCATGCTTTGGAGGAATGATGAAACTGGGAGATGATGAGAAATGGAAGGACCAGTGATTTTTGTTTAATTTCCAATTGAAGGACCATTTTGTAGTTTGCTGAGAAGTAAAGAACAAGTAAGAATGTTATGGTGATTCTTGTACCAGCTTGTTCGAATCGATCTACAAGTTTCAGTAGTGTGCCACCGAATGATGAAATTTTTGTAGTTTCAAATGGAATTCATCATCCACTCTTGTTCCTGATAATAATCTCTCAATTACTCCAAAATATTAGCTGTGGTTCTTAATATAAAAAGTTAGATAATTAACTTGAAAATATTAAAAAAAAAACTTAGTTAAGTTAGTTATTTATTAAAAAAATTGTGTAGTTTCAAATTAAATGGACTTCATCATCCACTCTTGTTCCTGATAATAATCTCTCAGTTACTCCAAATTACCTCCCATTTTTAATATAAAAAATTAAAATAACTAATTTAAAAATATTGGTTAAATTGGTTATTTATAACAAATATGTGTTGACTTCCTTAAATTACTCCATGTAATCATGTCCATTGAAATTACCTCTCGATGAGAATCCCTTACATTCAATACGGATATTTTGAAGAAAACTAATAAATTTGAAAGGCAAAATAGAATGACATATTATACTTAGGACTAAATCTAACCCTAATTAACTAACTATCATATTAAGGACATATTAAGGACAGGAGATGGCATCGTGTTTATTTATTTTCAGTGAGACACATATTTTGGTTATTTACTTCCACTGAAGAAGAGATACTTGAGAGTTGAGACCAACAAAAACACTCACATAACATGGATTTAATAAAATGGCTTCGCCAAGACTGAGGCATAGGATCCTCTCCTACGATTTCATGTCTTCAAAATAAACATTAAAGAATTAGTCACTGTGCTCACAAGAATCTTCCATTTACACTCCTAGCTTCTTGTAATCTATATACAGTACGTTCTCTTCAAATCATAAGAAGTAATTATACTTGCACAAAACTTCAAATCAAATTGCTTATATCCCTTAGGTGGTAGTAAATATAATCTTTACAAAAATGTCAAAATATAAATTATAATTAAGAGGTATATTTAGTTGAAGCAATAATGCTACTAGATTTATGCTATGAGGACCTTTTTTTTGTAGCAGTGAATACTTGAAGTTTCTGTATCCACTGTTATGATGTAAATTCGGATTAATAAATTTCATATGAATACTTGTCATTTGGTCATTGTCTATCAAAATGCGTATGCGTACTTCTAAATTTATCTATAAAATCTGGACATTTATTATTTTGCTATTTTTAATTATTAAAATGCAAACGTACATGTATAACTTTATATATAAATTTGATCAAATGCATATAAGCAACTTGAGTTAAAATTTTATCCAAAGACTATAAAATTTTAGGATCTTCGTTGATAATAATTATTAAATTTCAGGAGCTATGGCTGAAACAAATTTAAGAAACGAAAATTTTCACCGTCCTTTTTCTTAATTAATTACTTTGAATCTCTCTCTTCGCGTGCTACTTTGTTACTTTTATGTCCTTGTCTTTTCTGGACGTCCTCCATAAAACAAGTCTTGCATGCTTACTTTTAAAGTTTCTATACACGTTGGCCCTTTATGAGATATGATTGTTCTGGGATAGGCAAATCTTTTTTGAAAGAATTACGATTAGATCTCAAGAACAGAAAATAATCTCAAAAAGTTTTAATGAGAAGTAAAAATTTATTATTTTTTACAGTGAAATTTGTTATTACAGGTTATCATGTTGTTATTGAAATTTTTTAGCAACTATGTTTATTTCTTGGGACTTTCTAACAATTCTCTCTATCTATTTTAGTAATTTAAAAATTATAACGTTGTGCAAGTTATATATAAACTATATGATAAACACTCAAATACTACCTCTGGTCTTTAATATAAGAGCTAATTGACTGGTTTGAGTAGATTAAAAAAATTAGTTACGTTGTCTGTTCAAAATAAATAAGCGTTGTCTTTCTTAAAATATCCTTGATAATCAAATGCATTGGTTATAACTATCATTATTATAAGGACTATTTTAAAAAAATGAATAAATATGAGAGACAAAGTGGATTGAGATTTTATATTTATGACTAAAATAAAAGTCAAATAAACTTTCATATTAAGGACCAGAAGTAGTAATATACAGTGATAACTAGCTAGAGTCATTTTAAACATCGATAATTTCAACTTAATTTTTCATAGAAGACTATCATATTTAATTTTAGACTTTTTATCATCTTAATTACAGCATGGTAATTAAATTAACGTGTACATGGTTGAAGTGGTACATCTTCACGGGACCAATCGGTGCCCACATACAGTGGACCAGCCAGTTTGTTCCACTCATGCCCGGCCTATCATCCTATTGGTAGGCAGAACGCTTTGAGTGTAAAAATTTATAGCTTTGTTTTTAAATGAAGAGAAGCAAGACATAGAGAATGAGAAAATTAAAGGTAAAAAAACTCTACCTTATCAAATATTCCTCCAGTATTAAATATAAAATCCATTTTATAATATAATTTATATTATAAAATTGGTTTATACATTTAAAATCAGAAGAGTAATATATAATCTAAAGTGGAACCACTTATAAAAAGGAATATGTCGATTCCATAGTAGCCTATAAAAAATAAGAGCAATTCTTTGAAAAAATATTTTTAAAAAATACCTCTTAAATTTTAAATTAGTTTTGTTTACTATATTTTAATAGCAATTGACTACACTTAAAAAGTAAATGACAATACATTTTTAAAATAATTTTTTATTTGGGATTTTGAAATCCAAGAGGTATTTTTTTTTAGATTTTTTCTAATTCTTTTGCGGAAAAAGTTTTAGCGAAGTTTTAAACCTTCGAGAATTCGCATAACGTTTGTAGAATCGTGGAAGACATATAGCCTTTTTTTTTTAATGAATCTCGTAATCAATTATCTGTATATCTGTTTACATGGTCAGTAGTCCTATTTATTACTCTTCTGATCCTATTTATAAGGTATTTCCAACATGTTTCATACAGAACAAGAAAAACCTTAATTTTATTAACTCTCATTTAAGATTTAATAACTTTTCAACTTTATCTTTATTTAATATACATTATACCTCATATAAGCAAAGTCAACATAATAATAAAGGGGGATAAAATTGTATATCTATATAAAAAATTTCTCTCATTGCCCAATAAATAGGATCAAAAAATATATTCTCTCTTTGCCCTATAAATTCAACTTTTAGTATGTGTGTGTTATTTGTGTAATCAATCAATTAGTTAGTAGTTGGCCGGTTAGGAGTTGGGCATAAATTTCCTGCAGGCACGTAACAAAGCCAATAATTGACTTAAAACTATCCCAACGGCTTGATGTCTTCCTTGATCAATAATCATAAATGAATCTTCCCCTATATATAGATTTGTATCTTTATAAGTTTTTTAATTCTCTACATATCAATTCTCCATTAATTCTTGGAAAAAAGAATAAGAGGAGTGGGCATATAGGTAACCGTTTCAAATACGTGATGTTACGATATTCTCGACGTTTATATTTATATATGGCTGTAAATGGATGGAGTCATTTATTACCCACCAAATATGTCACTTTAAATTTCGGTAGTAAATATAATAAATTCTTATGAAGACTTTATTCATGTTATACTCCCTCTTGTCCTACTTATAACCTTCAATTTTGAAAAGAAGTGTGGTCTATTTTATAAGATTTAATTTATGGTATGTCCATTAAATGCATATTTTTCAACTTTGCCCTTAGTTATTTATTCTTTCTCCTTTACCATACTCTCTTGTCACATTTTCCTATACATTCTCTTTCATTCTTTTTCTCATTTATTATAAGGGCATATTTGAAAATAAAATTATATTTTTAACCTATTTGTTACTTTTATCTAATTTTAACTTCTTGTTTTGAAGCTTATAATAAAGACCAGAGGGATTCTTTTTAAAATATTCAGAATTAATTTTACATTTTAATGAGTTTATTTTATAGATATATCGGTATCCTAAGATTTTGAAAATTATTATATATCTCATGTATTTGTCTTTATGAGCCGTGTCGTCCCGACCTAAAATCTGGCGCTGTACTCCCTCCACGTGTGGTTGATTCATTCATAACACCAAACATGAACGGGGGTGGTTATTGAAATTTGATATCAATATATTTGAATTTTGTCATGTTTATATATTTTAGGTTAAAATTATTACTACTACTACTACTATATAAATTCATAGTCAGAGTATTATTTATTGTTGCAGTTTATTTGAGATATAAGAAACAGTATTTCATTTTTGATAAACAGAAACAGTATTTCATATTTTATCACTGAAATAATAATATATTGATATAGATGTTTCAAATTTAATTTGAATAGTTTATATGCACTATCTCAGTAATAAATTATATTTGTTGTATCAATATCTTATTTCAGTTATCAAAATTTGAGTTATGTGTGTGGAAATTCTATCTAAACATGCTTTAAATCATATACAAAAATAAACCTTTGGCCATATTAAAAGAGATATTTATAGAAATGTAAGAGTTTAAGGAGTTTATTGTAAATACCTAAACAAAATGGAAGCTAACTTCAATAGGTTATCTATAATTTAGCCATTATTTCTTGAATAAGAATTATTCAAAAATTTACACTTTCATCTCTCTCTCTCTCTCTAAAGTATTTGGGGGGGGGGGGATACACCAAGACACTTTTAATTTTTAATGACCAAAGATGAACCGTGGGATAGGAATTAATGTATATGCATAATAGATAGTAAGCTTAATTGGGTATTATGTGATGTTACATTGGATACTCTATGCTTGAACAGGAGTTGTTCTATAATATGCAGGCACAATCGCAGGAAAGAACATTTGCCTTACTCCTTCCGCCTTTATTATAGGGAATATGATGCCTGATGCGGCCTGACATTTAACAAAGAAATAAATATATTATTGAAGACTAAAACAAATTGATTTATGTCTAAAATGTAATACAACAAGTTAGTCATTCACAAGCAACAAATATATATGGACTATATATTCATTTTGTAAACCTAATATCATATATGGGAAGATATAGAGCAACTTCGCATTTTGGTTCATGTAATTTGGAGGTTCTCTCATTTAATCAAAATTTTAAGAGAAAATATTTTGAATTTCACTGGTACTTTTTTGTGTATGAAATCCCTGCATATAGTGTCAGTACTTTCTGTACATAAAATCATATCAGAGGGTACCTATTGTGACTAATAAAAAATTTAAATAGGTATTTTTTGACCAATTTTTAATTGCAAATGTGGCTCAAATTAATGGGTTAATATAATTTTTCATATCTCAAATTTGCTCTAATATTAATTTTAATCTCTCAAGTTTCAAATCATAAGTTTTTAACTTTCAAGTTTTATTTTTATTTAAAATATCGGTCCTTATAATTTAATAAAAAGTTGGTCCATTTTGCCTTTTGAGAGACCAAAACTTATGATTTAAAATTTGAGGGACCAAAATCAAAATGAGGGCAAACTTAAGCAACAAAGATTATATTAACCCCAAATTAATTGAAAGTGTGAAAATACATATATACTCACGGAGATCAATCGAACACCAATCCAAATGCGTTTGGGAGAAGGGAAAGGTAAGAGCAGGCGTCCAACCCCAAAGACAGCAACAGCAAAGAAGTGAAGGACCAAGCTGAGAGGCTTAGGGTTTAGACCAGACAATAAGGCCACTGGTCCCTCTGAGAAGACACCTCCTAGGCTCAAGTAATCAAAACAAGCTCGTCTCATTTCTTTCCTTGCTGGATCTGGTGATGCACTGAACACCTTGTACAGTGCTCCTGCTAGTGTGTTGATCGTTGATGCCACTGGCTGCAAATCAGCATACAATCATACACCTTCCAGTTATCTAACCAGATTTCACACACCATATATATGCATTGCATCAAGCTCGAAAAAGAAAGTTGCGATGTATATGAACTCACGCATACTCATGTTTTTCCCTTTTTTGTCATTCTTCACTCAACCGAAGAAACTCACAAATATATGTTATGTTATAAGGTTGACTCTTATGACCATGATTGATGCTATCTTAAAGTTTGACGAACCCCAAAAGCACTTTAAAAAAACTGTTTTTAAATAAGTTAAGACAAAATTCTTTTTACATACTTATCTCATATAGTATAGAATGACTTTTATGGTATTTGAACTACACTTGCAAGATTATTCCGACAATTCATCAACCAAACCAGTTTCTTGGTAAGAATTAATATAATCAATAAAGCATGTTGCTAGCAACCCCTACACATTTCATATCTCTTAATTCGTAGCCCAACCATTTTATATCCTTAGTGCACAATACCTAGTCTCATGAAGACCATAGACTTGGAGGAGCTGGATTCGTTGAGACAGTTTCAATTCCCTTATTCTTTCAGTAATGAAGTATGTTAATAAGACCTTTAAAAAGAGATGATGAAAGTTAAAGAATAATGACCTTGCGGAGTGTGTAAAAAGATTGGAGGTATTTGGAGAGAGCAGAGGCGTCGTGGAGATCAGGAAGAGGTCTGAGAAGATCCCTCAGAACGACAATGTCGGAGAGAGCCACAGTCATGCCTCCACCTGTGAGAGGGTGACGCATATTGAAGGCATCTCCCATTAAAAGAGCACCAGGTGTGGAATATGGAGACGCTGGCATACTCTTGTTTGGCATGCTTCTTATGTTCCCTTTCTCTATAGCTTCTATAAAATTATTATACAACTCCGGAGGCACCTGAGAAAGAGGAGAGAAAGAGTCAGGAGAGAAGCTTAGAGAGAAGGAAACTCAATATGCAATTCAATATTACTACTTTCAGTCTTCAATATAAGATCTACTTTAACAAATTTGAAGACTATAGTGTAAATGATATGAGAATCAGTTTCGGTCTTAAGCTCATCAGATCTGAATTATTTATATCTCATTTGAATGGTCCAGATTTAATTTTTTTATTTTTTTTATTCAAAATAATTATTTTAATATATATAATCTAAAATAGAGATAATCTCTTAATTATCATTCCTTCAAAAAATAGTTTTTTATTAAAAAATAATTAATTGAAAATTTTAAATCTCGATCATTCAAATGAGATATAAATGGTCTAGATCTGATGAGCTTAGAATGCTCATAAAAACTAGTTCCAAATTATATATACCTGAGGAGCTACTACAGTTTTCAAGTAATGAGCCATTTCACCAGAGGCAAGGGAAGGCAGTGTTTTGCCAGGAACATCAACCAAACATCGAATCTCGGTGCTGCTGATTGGATAGAATAAGATGGGAGAAGGATCACCCAATATTACGTGCCCATGGTTTGCATATGGAAGCTCACAGTTCTTCAGCACTAGACCCACAAAGTGAGAAGGCACTTCAACCTGCGTTCGTTAATGAGACAAATCAATGATTCAAAACTTGTGGTCAGATAAAGCTAGCTATGCTGCTTAAAAGAGTTAGCTAGTTACTATTGGGATTAGATAATACTATTTGAATACAAAGTAATTATACTAACAATAACAACAAGCATTATCCTACTATATGGGGTCAAGCGTATGGATCGTTATACGTAATAAATATACCAAGAAATTCAAAAACAAAGGGATATCAAGAGAGGGAAATACTAAATAAAAAATATCTTTATAAGTTATTAATTAATAGTAGGACTCATGTCTCAAACTGTGTATAATGTATAGGGCTTATGTTTAGTTTGTACCAATTACACACGCACCTTAGGGTTACAGAGAGAACGCCTCAAGTTGGAGAAACAGCCATCACAAACAATGGTAAGGGGAGCCTTCGCCATGAGCTCATTTCCACTCTTTGTTTTGTAATAAACTCCTTTGGTGGTTCCTTTTTCTTCAACTAAAGATGTCACCGTTCCTTGTTCTAGTTTTACGCTGCAAGTTATTTGTTTGGAAGGTTAAAGAAAAAAATATAGAAGTCTCAGATGGAATAAAATTTTTAAATAAAAAGAGATAGAAAGACTAAAAAAACTCAGCGTTAAATTTTCGAGTTAAGATATGTTTTCAAATATACATCATATTCTAGCTGTATATCACCTAATATAGTCATTAATTAATTAGTTTTTTAATTTAATGGGTGGGTGTTAACTGTTTGAATTTAAAAGCAAAATCAACCCAACAACCTGAGACTTGAATGGGAGCTCAAATGCCAGTAGGTTATAAAGCCAATGACACTAAGTATCAATTAATGGATTAATAGCATCTTTAGTCTCCAACTTCATTTTGGTTTTGGTACTTGTTTCCTGGACAAAAAATACTGTTTCAAAGACAAGAAGTCTTTATACAAACTAAAATAGAATCAAATTTTTCATGTATTAAAATTTACTGATTTCAAATTTTAGGTACTAAAATCAAAACGAGGTCAACTTTCAGGGACTGGATATGGCAACAACCCTTAACTAGTTGAATTGCAGCATTTTGAACTTTGAGATACTTGTAATTAATTAATTAATCAGACGAGTTTCAAAATCAAAGTAGTGATGAGGCTGAGAGTAACAACTAAGGATCCATACTTGGGAAGAGAGGCAGCTTTTTGTCGCATTCTGTGGATGAAACGGCCATTGTGAAAGCTTCTGCCAGAGACATCAGACTCAAACTTGTCCAAAGGATATGAGAGTTTGGTGCTTTTGCCATCCTTATACAGAGCGTAACCAAACACTTCCTGAGCATCTATCTCATCCACACAATCTGCATATATGCATACATGCAGCCTCAAGAGCTTTCACTTTCACGTTAATTACCCCAGAAAATGACATTTAGCTGGGGCCCCTTTTACATATTTATATGCAAGATAAAGCCAAACCGTACTGTAATATCGGATAATTACAATTTCTTTTTTCAAAATTCTAATGCAATATAGTATCTCCAATCCTTCATGTAAGAGTTAGTTTGATATTTAATTTGGTCCTAAATTAAAACTTAAAGCCACTTTGTCTCTTATATTTATTCTTTTTTTTTCAAAATAGTTATTGTCCTTGTAATAGTTGCACGTGTTAAAGATTTCATTAGTTCTAGCTAATACATATGATTAGTAAGAGTATTTTAGAAAAGGCAACACCTATTTATTACAAAGAATTAATTTAACTAATTTTTTTACTATATTCAAATTAGTTCACTAAATGTGGGCACTTCTCCTAGTAGAGATTTGAACCTTGGTTCACCACATAATCCCTCACAACGTGGTAAACCAAGGTTTGAATTTCCATTTGGAGAGGTATCCACATATATTTAGTAACTAATAATGTCTCAAACAGGATTGCTCTAATAGTAAGATACCTGTATTTACTAAAAAAAATTAGTCAACTTATTTTTATATTAATAACTAAAGTATAATTTTGCTGCTATATCTTACCCTGAAGGCCCAGCTGAACTAACTTCAAATAGCCTCCAGGCTGTAACAATTCACCCACAATCCTGTCAGGTTCTCTTAAGTCCCTTTCAATCACATGAACTCGCCTTCCATCCTGCAAAAACCCATCTTTATTCATTCTTTTGTCGGCCATTAATTTCATTTCCATTTCCAGAAACCCGAAATAAGAAAAATCACATATAAAGAAATATGCCTGCCTGTTTGTTTGTTTGTTTTTTTTTGTCTATGCCTGCCTGTTTGGATCTGCGGCTGAAAAGTGATTTTACGATTTCGCTATATACGAAATATATATATATATATATATATTTTATCTCATGCATAGAGAGGAAAAACAATTTTTAGAAGTGAAATCAAACTACCACCGCTATTGGTATGGTTTGGTTATTGTTTTCAGCACTAATCACAGAACTCAATATAATTACTATTGCCAAGCAAGATTATTAAGTGCTACCTAGCTAGAGGTTTTATAGGAAAAATATGAAAATAAAATTTATTTCCTTAGTTTTATTTATGAGAAACTTTTTCCCTAGAGGGGAAAAAAAAACAAGGCCCTTGAAAGTAATTTCAGAAATACAAGCTTCCATTTATATATATAATAAATTTCATTATGCAGTCTTCATTTACAAATTATAATTTCTCCTACTATTAGCAAGACAGAGGGGTTTTCAGAAATTTTATTGAAGAAAATACTATGTAAATAGATCATAATCTCTCCAATTCTAAAATGTTACATTAGCTAGAGAGCTTGCTATTGGTTTTACTATAAGAAAAATATGGAAATATTTCATCCGATCCTATTGATAAGATTATTCATAAAATTTTAAAATTATCCTTAATTAAAAGTTACTACCTCTGATTCTTAATATAAGAGCTTATTTAACTTTTATTTTAGTCATAAATATAAGACCACAATCTACTTTGTCTCTTATATTTATTTATTTTTTAAAGGTAGTCATTATAATAATGGCAGTTATAGCCAATACATTTAATTAGTAAGGATATTTTAGGAAAGACAACACCAATTTATTTTCAATAACTAACTTAACTAGTTTTTTTAATTTACTCAAATTAGTCAGCTAACTCTTATATCACAGATAAGAGGTAGTATTAAATAGCATGTGGGGTTCTCTTTAATTCTTTGCACATAAAGCCAAAATTCGTATTTATGATAGAGGGCAAATCTGAGGAAAAAACTATAAATGCTCAAACATATTATTGCAAAGTAACTTATATAATGAAAAACTTGTCAGAAAAAAAGTGTCTTACAACTAGAAGAAGAAGAAGTAGATGATATAGAAGATCGTAGAAATTAATGCCAAGAACTTTCTTAGCTGCAACATATCTTGTCACTTTCCTACTACTCCAAATGGATCTAAATCGTGAGAACCAGATCAGAAAAATCAAGAAATATAATGGGTTTCACAAATTTCCATCGTTTTTCTTTCTTGTTTGTTTCATGAGAAAACTGAAATGGAAAAACATATTCAAGCATTTTTCTCCTAGAAAAAAGATTGAGAATACGTACTTAATTACATATAGCCGCGAACTTGAAGTCTGAACAATTTCATTGAACTTCAAACAACCAAATGAAAACTTTTTACTTCCAGAAATATCCAGAATATATATAAACAGATCTAATTCAGAGTTCTCATAAAAACCCAGAAAATCAACAGAAATCTACCATTAATCCTACCTTTCCAAGCGTGTAAGCCAGAGCTGAACCAGCAACTCCAGCACCCACAATGATAATATCGGTATCTTCTCCAATCTCTGGATCTTTTGATTCTGCAGAACCGTTTGTTTTTGGCACCTTTATAGATGAACTCTTGATCAGCTTGCTCTTTTTGGCAAATTTTGACGCAGAAAGAAGAAACGCAACCACTAAACCAGAAGCTAGGATTCCTCCCAGAAGATACTGATAATCCATATCAGTTGGTGAAATTTTCGTCAGAAAATCAAAGAAAGCAGGTAGAGACGTTGAGTGAAAGTTGTGGTGAATAAAAATGATGATGATGATGATGAGAAAAAGGGATGCACGCAAGTTGTCCTCGCTGTACTTGGCTTTGTATGTGGCTTTGACGTGTTCTGGAACAAATTCCAGCCGTTTCCTTTTTATAGCCAGACACCAACTTCCCACTCTCATCACTTTCACATATTTTAATTGGGAAATTAAATAATCAAACTAGTCTTAATGCTCATCACAGTGATAAGCGCATGATACTCATCGCTGTGGTGAAATCTAAACCATTTAAAACTAGTTTTAGTGATTCAAATTTAAAATTTTTAACTAGTAATTTTTAAATAAAAATTTATTTTTAAAAAAACTTATAATTAAGATATTACATTTATTTTAGACTATGTACCTATTAAAAGAAAAATATTTTTTAAAAAAATATTAAATATTAAATCTTGGTCATTTATATTAAATTTAAATGATTGAGATCTGATAAGCAATGTGATAATGAGCACTGAAACAGCTAGTTCCTTAATTCTAATTCAGCACTACTTATAGTTTTACCTAATTTTTAATTAGGTCCTTATATCCTTTTGTTGGGTTCTTACTGTTTCCCCTAGAAATTAGGGTTTATACTTAGTTTATACATCGAGCTTGATGTAGATGGCGACTAAAAGATACATAATTTGTCATAAAATGAGCACATAATAAAAAAAGTATTTTTTTAAAAAATGATGGAATAAAATTTGTTTATTATTCATAAAAGGAAAAAAATTGTTACACTTATAATTGTCCTCACTTGCATTTATATAATCTGTAATATGGTTAATTTTAATTTTATTTAGATCCGTGTGACAAAATTAATTTAAATATATGCCGATCGAAGTCATCAGGCATTAACTCTCTTTCTCTTACAAGTTAACAAATTATGGGTATAATAACTAATACCTATAATTAAGAAAACTATAAGAACCCAATAAAAAGGAAAAAATTACAAAGACTTCAATGGAAATGAGGTGAAATTATCGATACTTGTACACTAAATTTCCTTATTTTAATTTCTCTTTTTTCCTCAAAATTAATAAGTTCGTGCATTATAGATTTATATTCTGAAAATTGCTTGTTGGAAATTATAAATTATAAATATATATATGTGAACATATAATTATTTTTCATTATATTAGGGGAGTTTGAATTTCAATTTAATTTATTTTATCTTTGCAGCCTAAGGCTGAAATGCGTATCATTTTTTCAAAAAATACATATAATTTTAAAACAGGCTTACATATTTTTTTGGCCAGAACCAAGATTACATATTATACGCGTAAGTTCAATCAACTTTCAATTCATATTGTGAAACCTTCGACATATATATAAGTACTCGTAATAGGCTGGCAAAACACACACACACACACACACACACCCATTATAGAGATAGTCTTTAGTAATCCAATATGGTTGAATCAAAAGTCATTATTACATTTACCTTGCATGCTAAAATTTACTGGAATTAAGATACATAAGATAGTTAATAGTTAATTATTTCTTTTATATATATATATATATATATCGGAAGTATTTGTTAATTAAGTTTGTTGGGATATTCAATATTTTACATTATGTTGGGAAGAGCTACGTAATTGGATCTGAAATAACTCTAAGATAACTTGGTAATATTATACTCCTTTAACTAATTTGACTAATTTGATTAGATTAAAAAAGTAAGGTAAGTTAGTTAATTATAAGAAATGTGACACATTTTTCCTAAAACACCATAGTCATCTTTCTTAATACACCATCTCCCTCTTCTACTTGATTATGGTTGAGGGAGTATCCATAGAAGTAGTGTAAAGAAAAATAATAAATATGACAAATGGGTCTTATATTTAGGATCAAAACTAACTCAACAATTGGGTCCTATATTAAGAATCGAAAGAGTATTTAAAATGATTTGTATGGAAAAAGAAAATAAAAAATATTTTCAAAACTGACTTCAACCACCTCATTAAAATTCTGTTGAAGATGAGGTCAATGGGAAAAATCTTTTTATACAATTAGTTTGGACCGTTAACATTAATGGCCAAGATATGTTAGGATTAGTTAGTGGAGACATAAAAAATTTGATTAAAAATTTGATTGATTCTTTTAATAAATATATAATTGAGTAAATCTGTTTATAACTTTTTTTAACCAAAAATGTGTTTAAATTTTTTATATTTAAATATTTAATTTATGTTATATGATGAATAAAAATATGTTCAAGGTATGTTTTGAGTTATTTAAAAATACACCCGAATAAATAACTTCTAATAAACGTGAGAAAAAATTTAAAATATAAAATTCTATCATGTAATCAAACTTAATACAATTTATGGCATATTAAAAAGTTTGAGGGGGAAAAAAAATACGTGTATTAGAATTATCTTTTGATTGTATAAAAAATTATTTCTTGGAAAATATAAACGTTAGAATACTCCTTATGTTAAAGAAGGATATTTTGATAAAATAAAAATTTAAGAATTAAACTTAATAGTCAACTAATAATTAAATGTTTAAAAATTGAATCTCAATTATAAAAGAGAAATTTGTATAACAACTTAATTTTAATATATTTAGATATATTTTTAAAATAGAGTGAAGGCCTCGGTTAAAAAAAAAAAAAAAGTAGATGAAAGGTTTCTTCAACTTAAATGAGACAAGTGGGTGGTGAATGTATTTTATTCTTAAGAATATTAAAAACTTGAACCTTTTATATGCTCCAAATGTTTCATAAAATTTAGAAACCACCTGCCTAGCTAATTAATAATGGGAAAATTAGGGGGAAAAGAAAGTCTGTCATGAAAAGTTTTACTTTGTTTTAGGGTTTTAAATGACAAATATTAATAATGCTACTTTCACTCCTTAATACAGGAACCAGTTTAACATTTAATTTAGTCCTAAATATAAAATTTTAATCCATTTTGTCTCTCATATTTATCTTTTTTCTTAAGATAATCCTTGTAATAGTTATACATGTTAAATAGTTCATCAAATGATAGTTTTGGCTAATATACTTAATTAGAAATAATATTTTAAGAAAGGCAATATATGTTAATTATAAATAATTAACTTAACTAATTTTTTTAGTATATTTAAATTAATCAATTAGTTTTTATACAAAGTATTAGATGCAGTATAACATAATATTTGTTTTTTTTTTAATAAATAACATAATATTTGTTTTAATTAGATGACTTATTTCTCAATATAAGTTTACATACAGACACATATAAACGCACACATGTATAAGGTTTTTCGATTGTGTTAAATTGATGAGAAGCTGTCAAGGTGTCAGTCTCTTTTTCTGCAACTTCCCACACCAGACGAAACGAGAATGATGAAGGAAAAAAAAAGGACACAGATAATAAGGAAGATGAAAAAACGAAGAACAAGAACAATTAAAAACACACCTATCGATCATTTTTCTTTCCCTTCTTCCATGGTTTTTAGAAGGTTGCGACGATAGAGAAAGAAGTTGCAAACTTCAGATTTGAGAGTTGCCTGCGACGGAGGGAAGAAGAAAAATGCAGGGAGATGTGATTCAAGCCATTGATTATGACACTTAGTAAAATGTGAGGGCTAGTCTTTTCTCCTTTTTTAAATTTTTTCTTTTTTATTACCATATATTTTATTGATATAATGTAAAGCATTTCACGATTGTTTTTTTTTCTTGGCCAAAATTCACTGTTGTTCACCTTTTCATTGGCTGTGTGTATATATATATTCATTATTTTATTATTATTTAAAATTTTAAATTATATAGTTTTTTTTTTACTTTTAAAATAAATCTATCGTATCCTTTCTAGTATTAAAACATGATTGAGTGTGGAGGGTGAGATTAAAGAGCTAAATGGGAGTAAAGGCACTGTTTGTTTGTTTTTCATCATTCATTTTTAATTTATTTAAAATTTTACTCTTATATATTATATATAATATTATTTTTATTTAATTATTATGTTATACTGATCTGACTGATCCAACTGTTTGAATTGTGATATGCTGGCCTTTCTGATTTTATATCCGGCCTGGTTTTTAAAATATTGGTTGTTACTTTGGATATCTGTAAGAATTAATTTAAGAAGTTGGCGGAAAAAAAATTGAAAAGGCCTCTTTTGAGGATTAAGTGATGCCAAGTCAACGGTTGGATAGGAATTGAATGAAGTTTCAGTATCCACCACACGCAACCCATCAGACAAGTTGGTATTTTCGCATCTCCTTAATTAATGCTCAACCGTTTTAGCGCTGCTTCGTATCTTTTCTCTTTTTAATTAGGGCGACCCCATGCGCTTTTTTCCACAACCCCTTCCCTCCCTTGTATTTATTATATATGAAATAGGATATACTCTTCTAGTCTTATTTATAAATTACTTCTAATATATTTAACACAGATTAAAAAAAATTTTAAATTTTTTTTAATTTTATCTCTATTTAATATACATTATACTTGATATAAACGAAATCAATACAATAATAAATAAAAGGTTAAATTATATATCAACACAAAAAATTTCTCTCAGTATGGTACCAAAAAATATCTTCTTTCTCTTTCCTATAAATGAGACCAGAAGAGTATATGGGCTGCAACTTGTTACTAGAACATTAATTAATATTAATGCACAAATTATTTGTTTATTGTAATTTTAAGTAAAACAAATAAAGTTTTCATAAAAACCTCATATTCAAGATTGAAGAGAGTACGAATTAACTAATTTTACCAAAATATTCTCTAAAAAGTGTGACTCAACCGTCCTTTTGAAGGCGCAAACTTATCAAGGTTATTCCTAATAATGCAAAGGTCTAAAAACTCATTTAATATACTTTTGTGACACATGTAACTTTTAGTGTCCAAATTTTTTCTCAATAATCGGCTTACTTCTTAAACTTTAACCAGTACAATTCAATCCCTATAGTTTGTTAAGTTAAAGAATTAGTATAAAGATTAGGTTATACTGAATCAAAATAAAAAATTTATAAGGATTAAGTTACATCGAGTTAAGTTGTTTTGAGATAGGGAATTATATATATTAAATTATTCTGAATCAAAGTTTAAAAACTGAATTGATAATTAAGAAAATATTCAAGAACTAAAAATTATATATTTTCCATATTTTTTATTTTTAAAAAAATAATATCTATTCATTATAAATAATTAACTTAATTAATTATCTTAATCGTAACAAATTATTTATCCAAGTATTATGTTAAGGATCGGGATAGTTTTGGATTAACATCATTGTTGGTCCTTATAATTAACTCGTATTGTTTCAAATTATGGTTTTTAATCCTTTGGTATCTTCATAAGTACTCGGACCCAGACTTGGACACGAAGTTAACAATATTAAAATTTGATGACATGATTGTAGCACTGTTAAAAATTGCTGATGGGGCTGTCAGAAGAGGTCAGGGAGCCAGTTTAGGGGCTGATTTTTTTTTAAAAAAAATAACCATTCTTATTCTAATGGGTATAGAGTTTAAAATAAAAACAGTCTCTTAACTACCGTTTTATTAAAAAAAAGATTACTTAATTTAATAATGATTAACTAAAAATATTAAATTAAAAACACTAGTATTCATTTAATGATTTGAATCAGCATTAATTATATCTCGAGGCTGAGCTCTCAAGTCTCAATCAATTGTAGTTTGCAGATGATGATAGACGCTGCAGTCACTTCTTCCAGAGGCAATAAGAAAGTCATGGAGAGGAATCGAAGAAGCCAGATGATGACCCCGGAGTGGCTGCAGTGATCTAGACGGTGATGCTTGGATTGGATGAGAACGTTTTAAGTGTCTTCGTTTTTCTCTTTTTAAAAAGAGTTAATATTCAAATTTGCTCCCTAAAGTTTTCACTCGCAACACGCAACACTTAAAAAGTTTTTTAAATATAAATTTATTTTGAAAATTTAAAATCATAATAATATTATTTTCTATTATTAAAAAACTAACGTTAATTATTAAAATAATGATATTGACTATTAACATTTTTAACGGTATAATATCACCATGATTTCAAAATTTCATGACAAATTTATACTTAAAAAACTTTCTAATATCCAATACTTTTGAGGAAAAAAATATCACACGCCATGTCATCAGCACAACCAGCAATTTTATCCCGTCGACAGCCTCATTAGCAGCTCTGAGGTGTTACTGCCATGTCATCAAATTTAACACTGGGGCCAATTCCTTAAGAAACCACATAGGAAGAAACATTGAAAAAAAAAAAAAATGGCTTCTTGAAAAACCATGGTTTTGGTATATTAATCAATTATTAAATTTTTGGAGGTGTTTGGATGGTTTTTTTTTTTTTAAAATCATGATTTTTGTTCAAAATCAAGGTTTTAAAAAAATATTCAAACACTCCTTAAAAGGCTAAAATCAGTGGTTTGAAATTATAAGAACCAAAATCAAAATGCAAGTGAATTATAGGCACTAACAGTAGTGTTAAATAAACTACATTCGTTTGAAATTTTTGAAATAAAAAGTTGATGAAGTATCTTTAAAGTAAAAGAAGAGGGAACTAAATAAGATAAGATTAAAAACCTTTAGAATATTTTTTTTAAAGTAAAAGAGAGAACATATCTCATGTGGGTTTTCACCTTTTCTTCTTGGGTACTTGTTCTTCTATCTTCGAATTTGATGCATTATAAAAGTAAGTAGAGCTGTAAGAACTTCAGATTCATATTATACAAATATTAATATCCAGATTACCCTCTAATTAATTAGTAAAAAAACTTCAGATTACTCGCCAAGTGGCTTTTAAAAAAACAGAGTTTCATTTTTTATTTTTCCAATAATAAGTTTACAAATTCTTGATCCATCACAAATATAAAATATATTAGTAATTACCCTATAAATAACGAATGATACTTTAATTTTGGACTCTAATTGTTCATTTTTTTTTTTCAAGTGTTCTTCACACATTTTATAAGAATCCATCCAATTTTTTGTATTCACTACACCTTTTAAATACATATTTCAGAAAGATTTAAATATTAAATGAAAAATAAGTATAATATTTTAAAAAATTTAAATTACCATCTCTCATCCTAATTATAAAATTTATTAATAAATTACAAACTACATCTTATAATTAGAATCCAAGTTAGTATTAGTTTAGAGAAAATCACTAGATGTGTCAAACTATTATGGGGCCGTAAAGAACTGTTTTCATTACCAATTGGGCTTCTTTGGAAAGTATTAGGCGCGTCAGCCCAAAATGGCTGCAATAATGAAATTACAAAACCACCCCTACAATGCCGTTCCTCTTACCAGCGTGTCCGAATTCTCCAACGGCTACTTACAGAACTAACAAATTTAAAATTGTCTCTCGTTCCATCCTTCAACTTCCTTCATCTCGCCACACACCACGCTCCTCTGCTTTCTCTCTTATCTCTCTCTTTCTCTCTCTACTTTGGATAGTATATGGCTACAGAAGCTCCTTCGTTGCCGGTGATTGAAGAAGAAGAGATAGACGATGAGTTCTATGAGAAGATCGAAGCGCCCAAGTTCGTGGACTTCACCGCACCGGAGATCCGTCGTTCTCATGATGACCGTTACTGGTTCTGCCTGCGTGTTGGTAATTTATTTTCCTAGCTGCGTCCCATGAGTTTATTGGAAATTTAGATTTCACTCTTTTCTTGCAATTTAACTGGAAATTAGATTTCTCGATCAGACTGAAAGAACTTTAAAGTTTCCAAATATATCAAGTCCGAGTAGCATGGACAAAGTTCAAGACTTCGAGGATAGCTTAGAAGCATAAGTTTAAGATTTGTGTTAATGAAATCTTCTATACTTGTGAGCAGGATGTGACCGAAATCATGAAGACGAGTTGGACTCTGAAGCAATCTACAAGAATTTTGTCCTTCGGGTGGGTTCTGGTTTCACTCTTCTAACTTGAACTTCACTTCACTGATATTTGACAAAATTCCCAGTGTGGACACGATGGTAACTTTTGGCTTTGCAGGTTATGGCAGCCAGAAGTCCCAATGTCCGCCTCAGAAAAGCAATGAACAAAAGAGGAGCAAGGTAGCAAAACAGAACTGCTAATGTTCCCCTATCTTATTGACCATTTTTAAGTAAAATTTTTGTTAATAAGATTTATCCCATTTTTTGGTTCTTAGTGCAAATCTGAAATGCCCACACACAGCTCCCGCTAAATCTTCGAAGCCAAGGGTTTCGCGATTGGCTTTGATCTCGTCACTTTCAAAAAAGATTGTTGATGACAAAGCAAGAACTAGGCCTCCTTCTAAGGCTCATGCAACCCCAAAAATTGCTACGGTAAAGCAATCATCTGCTACGGCTAAGGCTTTTACAACTCCCAGGAATCAGAAGAAAAGTTCGAATCTTGCTCAGTTCAGAACTGTTCAAAGCAAAAAAGCTTTGAATGTGGATGTGCCTAAAAACAGAGTTATAGCTAAAACTCTTGTATTTCACTCGCCGAAAAAAGTAGTGAAGCTCAAGAGCTCTGTAGAACTGAAAAAGACACCCATGAAATCACTGTGTTCAGCAATGAAGAAGCTTGAGATTGATAGCGTAAAGAAGAAGAACGAAGGAGCTTCAAGAAGGAAAATCAAGGGACGTGAGGTTAAGAGCCGGGTGTTTGATTCTTTATATCCTAACAGATGTTTGAAAGAGGAAAAGAAACTAAAGGGTCCTTCTCACATTCATGAAGGAAAAGCCACCCATGATAATGGTGATTCTAGTGACATGGAGATTGATGGGAAATCAAGAGATGGATCTCTTGAAATATGTCATGAATCATCAGCTTCAGAAGGGGCAGAAAAGAAGAGTTGCGAAGAAAATGACGAGAAGAGAGGGAAAATCCCGGAAGCAACAAAGAGAAACGACAATAAAGAGAATTGTGTGGTGTGTGATGATGATAATAAAGAAAATGAGGGGGAACTCAATGAAAATGATGATAGGGAAAATGTTTCAGCCCCTGATGAGAACAGGTACAGATTTAATTTGCAATAAAATTAATTATATTAAGAGTATCTCTTGCTTCTTGATCTTCATAATCCAATCATCTTTTCCTCAGAAAGCTGGCTATTAATCATGACAACCTTGAAAAGCCCAAGAATGAAGAGACGAGGAAAACGCAGAAGGTAAGTTCTGTTTCAGATTCAATCTTCAAATTTTATGCTTACTTTATTTGATTATGACTTCAAACCAGACTACGTCAAACCAGAAACCTACGTCTAATGCAACAACTGGGTCTCAACTTATGAAATGCATAAAATTAATGACTTCAATTCTTATGCTTGCTTCAAATTTTATGCTTACTTTATTTGATGATTATGACTTCAAACCAGAAACCTACGTCTAATGCAACAACTGGGTCTCAAGTTGTGAAATACAAAAAGTTAAAGCCAACGAATCCCAAGCCTTTTAAGCTGAGAACAGATGTAAGGATGTTCTCTTCCTATCGGTTTCATGAAGATTGAATCTTAAAGGAAGTTATGGTAATTAAATCTTTTGTTCATGATTTTTTGGGTGTTTTTTTTTTCCTCCAGGAAAGAGGAATTCTAAAAGAAGCTAACTTGGAGAAGAAACCTCTCTCACCCTTGAAAGAAACCGCTACTAAAGGAGGCAACACAATGAGGAAACATCACGATTTAAATCAGGTGAGTTTCATTTTGAATATTAGCTATGTTAGAATCTCAAAGTGTGAGCATACTTGATTTGATGTGGAAAGTATCACATCAAATAAAATTGCGGGTAACAATATATTGATAATAGATTTGAGCCTTGATCTTTTAAGTTAAGATTTGACGTCGATTTCATTGATATCGTTCCTCTTCACGTTGCTCATGACCCAGCTTGGATGCTTTCCTGTTGCTTATGGCTCAGATTGAATTCCCTCGTGTTTTTCAAATTCAAACTCTCCCATCATACTCAATGTAAACCCTCAGACTCGGGACGTATCATTGATTGTACTTATGTCATTTCTCATCATGCTGCTCATGACCTAGTATGGACTCTCTCCATTACTCATGACCCAAATTATTAGACTCTCCATGTTTTGAGGCATAATGCTCCTCAGGCCCAAATTAAACATTAACAATGCACAACCTCAGACTCGGGACGTATCACTAATTGTACTTATGTCCTTCCTTGTCATGTTGCTCATGACCTAGTTTGGACTTCTCTCCATTACTCATGACCCATATTATTGGACTCTCCATGTTTTGACACATAATGCTCCTCAGGCTCAAATAAAAATTAACAATGCACACCCTCAGACTCGGGACATATCATTAATTGTACTTATGTCCTTCCTTATCATGTTGCTCATGACCTAGTTTGGACTCTCTCCATTACTCATGACTCGGGACGTATCATTAATTGTACTTACGTCCTTCCTTATCATGTTGCTCATGACCTATTTGGACTCTCTCCATTACTCATGACCCATAATATTGGACTCTCCATGTTTTGACGCATAATGCTCCACAGGCTCAAATAAAATATTAACAATGCACACCCTCAGACTCGAGACGTATCATTAATTGTACTTATGTCCTTCCTTATCACGTTGCTCATGACCTAGTTTGGACTCTCTCCATTACTCATGACTCATGTTATTGGGTTCTCTTATTTTGAGGCATGATTCTCCCCCGGCCCAAATTAAATATTAACTATGCTAGGATGTCAGGCGTGAGTATACTTAATTTGATGTGGAAAGTCCCGCATCAAATAGACTTGCGATTAATAATAAGTTTGAGACTTGATCTTTTGAGTTAAAATGTGTGTCGATTCCACTTATGTCCTTCCTCTTCACATTACTCATTATCCAACTTGGAGTCTCTCCTATTGCTCATGTTCTAGATTGGACTCTCCTCTATTTCGAAGCCTAATACTCCTGGGGCCCAACAAACTTGCGGATAGTATGGGTTGTTGTAATAGATTGACATGCTTTGAAATGAAAATATTTCAAAAGATACGAATCATCTCTAGAACGTATTGTATCCTTTTTACAAACTTCAAATTTTACTTGTACATGAAGACCTAAAATTATGCATTCCTTGCTTCCATCAGAAGAAGGAACAAGACCCTGATAATAACAGTTGCGAAGACGGAACAGACCATGCAACTGAAGAAGATAAATCTGTAAGTTGATGTGCAGAGGATGTTGAGGATGGTATCATTTGAATGTTATTGCTTTATGAAATTTTAGAGAATAAAGAAGGCTGAAACATCTTAAATGTTGATGTAGGTAAGCATTCAATGTTCTGTCCATGGAAACTCCAAGATGAAAGTGAACAGACTATATGCCACTCCACAAAGAAGTACTGGTCCTAAACTTCAGAAACCTGTTGATATGGCTGAACGGCCAAAACGACAAGATAAAGCAGCTCAAAAATTGGATGACAAGTTTAAAAGAAAATCCCACATGACGCAGCCCACGCTAGTTGTAAGGCCTAGAAGGTAAGTTATTATACTCACTTTGTTCTCTCCAAGGAAGTAATTATAATTTGTTCCCTCTATTTACTCCATCCATCCTAAATATAGGGCAATCTAAGTAGTTCACGCATCTTAAGAAAAGTTTGTTTTATCTTTAATCTTTCTAAAAAAATAACATTTGTTTCTAGTTATTACCTTTTGTCAAAAATTAACATTCATCCTAAATCATATTTTGAATGCATCCTTATAAAAACTGAAAAAAATGGGTAAAATGGGAAGAAACATTTTTTTTGGGGGGGGGGGCTGGGGAGCAAGTATTTATCAGAACAAGTTAACAGTTTAGCCTCAAGATTCCTTTAAATTACTCTTGCATCTTCATTATTTATGATAACCATTTTAGCGTAGAAGGTAAATGAGTTATATGTTGGTTGTATTCGCAGTGCTTTGTCGAGGAAGAAAGAGAATGGTCTTGTTGTAACACCTGATAAGAAGCAACTTAGTGTAATTGATGAAAAGTCATCCTATTTACAGCCCAAGGAAGAAACAGTAAAGGCTTGTAATAACGGCGATTCGTCTATAAGAAAAGCTTACAGTGCCAATTCCAGGTCTCGTTCAAGACCAAAAAAGGCTATAACCATTCCAAAGGAACCAAACTTTCAGAGTCTTCATGTGCCAAAGAGCTGCACAAAAAAATTGACTTGAGAATTTTTTTTTACACCATTTCATTTGGCCCACTTTTCTGGCTGTTTGTGTGTCTAATGTTCAATAACATCATTGAATTCATGATAGTGGCTTTCTGAAGATTGTTCTGGGGCCATCTTATACTGAGGCGTAGGCAAATTTGTTGATTCAGATACATCTTTGTTGTAACAGTTGATTCATTTGTAATTGTTTGTTGTGTTTATTTATGATATAACTTTAGATGTAGGTCTGATTTTTTCCACTGCATTGTGTACTTCTGAAACAGAAAGAATATAAGTAAATTTTGAGCGTTCTAAGTTAAAATTGAGGCTATTTATGGAAAAAAGCAGGGAAGCACTTTGTGCCCATGTACCATTTTTTAATAGAATCATCATGAAAATAACAAATGAAAGTTGTCAGCATTTAGCCCTAGCAACTTGTCAAGACATTCTTGCATCATTCTTTTCTTTGAATGCCCCATAACGGAATGAAAATACACAACTACAAGTGAGCAACCCATAACGGAATGAAAATACACAACTACAAGTGAGCAACTTAAGTTATGGAGACTCTTGACGAGCTGGTAAGCTTTTTTTTTCCTTTTTTTCTTTTTTTCTTTTTTACCGTAAACTGAAAACTTGCATTAACAACTTAAAACCAAAGTAAAATTTACGAATAGACCAAAAGGTTAAACTAGAACTGCCAAAAAAAAAAAAAGGCAAAACAAACAGAAAAAACACAAGGGGAAAACAATTAGCCTCCATCATCACTATCTATTTGAATTTCTGCAGATGGCTCGTGATCAAAGATTCGGTAGTTTCCCATCAGTAAGCTTCTTTTAACTAATTAGAAGCAAAGGCATCAAACAATGCAATAAATCATTATAATTCATAACAAATTATCACAACATCAGATGTCTATCAGAAAAGAAATCATATCTGAACTGAGAACCAAACAAAAAAAAAAAGGAAAGAAAATAACATACATTTCACTGATATAACATCTGAGGGAACACACCACCAAAAGCTATGTGATCATAATCATATTGTAGGGCAAAGCACTTCCATTACAATACCAAGTCTATTTAACACAATCAAGCTTCATCAGATACTGAGAACAACCCTCCACACCTTATTCTAAATCACAGACCAGATGGCTTTTTATTTGTTTATTAAAACTGAAGCGGTTCTCCTGCAATACAGATTTACGCTGCACCATCCTGTGACTCTTAACAATAACCATTTATGTCACCAAGGCATTTGCATGTGTATTTTGAGTCACTTCAGGCTTTATTGCTCATGAGGTATTTCAGTTTCTCATTTGCAGCCACAAGTTCAGCAGATATGCCCGGTTCATTTGCTGAATGGCCTGCATCTGCAACCACCTGTTTCATCATAGTATGATTCATTAACTGGACCATATTATGCATCTAAGCTCAGAAGTAATCAAAGTTCCAGAGAAACATTTTCTTGGAAAAAATCACAAGAAAATTCCTTAAAAAGGAAAAATAAATGCTCACAATGCAAATTCTTCATACTACTTCCTCTAATCCTCAATATAAGAGCTAGATAACTAATTTGCAGATATTAAAATAATTAGTTAAGTTATTTATTTGTTAGCTTTCTTAGAATACAATTTCTAATAATGTATATTGTAACTACCCCTCGATAGAAGCCTCCTTACTATTATGTGCAATCAATAGAGATACCTTAGGAAAAATTATATATTTAGGAGATAAAGTAAAATGAAGTCTTATATTAAAAACCAAAACAAACCCCCTCTTTAGGGCCAGAGATAGAACAACAGAACTATCGGTGAGGAATTTGGTGTGGGGGCAAGACTTGGGTAAAATTCCCAGTCTACATTTGGCTGGCTAGTGGAAAAGCAATTAGAACGGTGATGCATGGAATACATGGCTTTTTTGTTTTTCTTTATCTTTTATTTTACACAGTCTATTATAACTTTTTAATTCTTATTGCTCAACAGTATCTGTCCCTTTTCATCACTTTTTGATGCAAGGGCTCCGGGGTCATTTATAATCATAATCTCATTCTTTTCCCTTTCTAGACTATTAAAGATTCTGCATATCAGACACACTAATTTGTTTCTTATCAAGTTTTGTGATAAGAACATTACATGTTGGCATTTTTTTAATAATTCATCATGACATTATTGACTGCAGAATGTGACTTTATTTATGGAGCTTCAGAAAAGCAATCATAGAACAGCAGCGCTCTTACCCTAAAATCTGCCTCTGGCCAAGCTTTATGAAGATCCCAGGCTGACATCATTGGGCAGCAGATATCATATCTTCCCTGCAAAGTTATGAATGACAAGTTACGGCCACTTGATCCGCAAAACGGACAGAAAAGGAATGGAAAATAGAATTAATAAAGTTATTAAGAAAATGAAGTATGACTCATATCCCTTCTGTAAAAACGTTTTAAGAAAAATGAAAAATTAATCTTTTAATCCTTTAACTTTTAACTTATTTAAAACTCAGTCTTTTAAGTATAACTCAGAGCAACTTAATTCATGAACTTTTGACTCTGTTAAAACTCAATCCTTAAACTATGAATTATTTATATTTTTGTCCTTTGTAATCCATAAGTCAAACCTAGTCATCATTGAGCTATCCTAGTTGGCAAAGTCATATGATGAGTCAACAAAGAGAAAAACTTATAAAAAGAAAACAAACAACAAGGAAAGGCCGAGAAAGAAATCAGAGAAGGCAAACTCAGATTAAATCAAATGAAGAAAAGGCAGGAGGAGAATAAAGTCCCAACTTGCTGTGTTGATTCCAGAACTTCTCAATCTAAACAGAATGTTGTAGCTAAAGTAAAACACGAGGGATAAAAATAGTATTTGAAGAAACCAAAAAAAAAAAAACCCCACTTCTGCCGTAATGACTCTGCTAATCTACTTCAACCCTGAAAATCATGAATGATGAATCAGTAGAGGAATTTAATTTAAAAAAAAAAGGGTTGATCCCAAAATGAAATCCGAGAAGGAAATCTAAAGGATAGTTGAAGAAATAAAATTAAATTCCATTAAAGGATTAAAATAATCTGAAAACTCTATAGATCATGGAGCCTGAAAGTAGCAGTTCAAGAAAATGAATCAGAATTCAATTCAAACAAGTTTGTTCGGCAACTGCTTTCTGTTTGTAGAGAGATTTCACCCAGGTCAAAACGGCATTAGAGAGAAATGCCTCAGTCAAAATCTGGTCCTTTCTCTCGTCCTAAACATGAAGTAGTGAGAGATGCAAGATGTGGTCTCCTCTAATCTGAGTTTGCCTTCTCGGCCTTCCTTTCTTGTTTGTTTTCATTTTTTGTTTTTCTCTTTGCTGACTCATCATATGATTTTGCCTACTAGGATGACCCAATGATGACTGGGTTTGAATTATGGATGACAAAGGACAAAAATATAAATAATTCAAAGTTTAAAGACTGAGTTTTAACTAAGTCAAAAGTTCAGGGATTGAGCCACATTAAGTCATACTTAAGGGACTGAGTTTCAAGTGAATTAAACAATTAAATGACGAAAAGATTAATTTTTCCCAAGAAAAATGTAGATAGATACTTCTTAAATAATTGCAAGAACATAATTACAAAGATAGAAAAATAATCTTTTCCATCTAACAAAACAAGAAAGACCAAATTTCCCCTGTCAACATTTTTCATTGAAAAACATGACAGAAAGTATGAATGATAGAATTTATGTGGTCACATTTTCTCAACATTTAGTAAAATAGCTTGAAAATGAAAAATTCCAAAAAGATATTTCCAGCGTTTCAACCAGACCAATGGCATTTTGGTAATCTCACAAGAATGTCTAAAAATGATTAGTAAAAGATCAAAATAATAACGCAGAGTGATCCTGCGTATCTCCACAAAGCCTTCTACGAGCTGAACTACTCATGAGCCATAAACAATGCAATTCCATACACTTTTTGACATTTTATGGTGATTATTGGCAGTCAAAGTCAAAAGTAATATACCGTATATTTCCTAATAAATGAAAATTTGGAAATGAATTAATTTTTTGAATCATTTCAGAAACTAAATAAAGTGAGAAATTCAAAGGTGCAATGACGAATTTACATATACCTGTACAATTACAGTGTTGATATGCCTTATCTTATCAACGTTATCCAACAGGAACGATTCTGATGGAAAGAATCCACCGTTCACAAAATAATGGTTTTCAATCCGTGCAAATGCCTACAAAGACAATAATGTCATCAGCACAATTTACACTCCCAATTATGAAACACAAGAACATACAATCATATATCAATCCCAAATAAAGAAAGGGAAATATTTAAGAAGGGAAAGTCTCAAAATAAATTGGTTTTTCAGTGATGGACAAATAAAAATATGCTATTGAAGTATGAAAGATTCCAAAATTAAGAATACAAACAAAACATTGGCCTCGTAATAATTAAGCATCAATATATTTGGGCCAAGCAGGGTAGCAAAAGAATTTAGCTTCTCCACTTTCTTTAGCACATTCTGTACTTGCTACTGCTGAAATGGAATTAACAAAATTGATTTTATACGGTAAACAAGTAATGAAATTCATAGCCACAAAAAAATTGCTATTACTCTATGTATTTGAGTCCGTGCACTTAAGAATACCAATAAAATGCAGGAATCTTAATAATCAAGAATCAATATATAGAAGCACATGCCGGGGTGTTCAGAGACCAAAACAATTAAGCTTCCCCACATAAATTTTAGAAATGTCAAAATCTTGTTTATCGAGGCAAAAGGTTCTGTAAACAAATACTGGAATTCATAACCACAGAAAAATTACTATGGTTATATGACCTCTTCCATATGCACCAGCAGTGGATAGTTGAGTCTTTGCACTTCCAATTTTAGAAATGTGACAATTTTATAAGAAATGTGTTGGAAGATTACCTCAATTCCGTAAAGGTGCACACAAGCAACATCAGATTAAGATCAAAAGTAGATGAATATAGTAAAGATGAAATCCCAAATAAAGCAAATGAAGCTGATTCTGGAATTTACGCCAGACATTCTTCATAAAACAATTGATAAAAAATGCTCTATGAGGAGATGTCTTCTATTCCTCATCTGTTAAACCTACCAGTGAAAATTTATCATCGTCCCCTTTTTTGATGTTATCTTCATTTGGAATAAGATGCGCAGTCATCATTTCCCATTTAGTCCATTCTCTAGCAGCTGCATACTACGAGATGAAGATTGAAGAGAGTATAAGAAGGCAACAAAATTATGCAACTACAATTTCCTGTGCTTTCAGCAAACAACTAAAAGCCTGCTGAAAGATCTTGTTTCTGGCCATCAATATACAAAAGAAAATACTCTATTAATTTCAGTCAGAAGCCATAGGTGACTTGCTGGTTCAGAATTCTAAATAGTTCAAATCTCTTTAACTCTTCATACACTTGACACTTTAGAATTCAGGCCAAAAGATGAAATATAGCTTAGACAATCAAATCCCAACAAGAGAAAATACAGAGGACGAGAAAAGCCATGTAGAGGAAACCAGACAGACACTCACTTGAGTTTCCATATCATCAGAATTTAATCTCTTCCTGTAGGCTTCAACGAAGCATCCTTTCTCATTATCTGGAATTAAATCTCTAAATGGTTCCCAAGCTGGAATCACATGCACAAGTCATCAACCACTTTAATTCCTTAGAAATTTAATAACCAAAAAAGCCAAACATCACATTTAACCATACATGAGATTTATGCAAATCAGAAACCAAGAATACCAAATTAACAAGAGATTGGGAATAAAAACAATGATATTTGCATGGCCTTAGCTGAAAAATTTTAGTCCCAGCATGCGAAGAAGGTGACATAACATGATGCTCCAGCAAGCTTGCATCCAACAGAACCCAAAAAAAAAAACCTATTGTTCTACTTTTTTTTTTTTTTTCCGTCAACAGAAACCTCTTCAAATCTTTAAAAAGAAATTTTACGGTGCATGACGTGCATTCACAACACAAGGAATTTGCCAGGCAAAGAAACAAATGAACACAATGTGGTATATACCGTCAGGGAATATTGCAGCAGCACCACCCTCATAAAACCAATCAATCTCTTTCTTTCGCAAAAGAAAAATTCCCCTGATGATTATGCCAGTAACCTTGGAACAAAATTAGAAATATACATATATATCATAAGAAGTGAGCAACAACCGCAGGAAAATAAACTATTCATCAACCAATATCGACACAAACTTACAGACCTTTTCTGGGTGTGACTGGCTGTATGCAAGGGCAAGTGTGCTTCCCCACGACCCACCAAATACCTGCATGATTTAAGGAAGAGAATATAATGGCCTATCATATAAGAATCACCAATAAATTCTGAGACCAGAAATGAACTATTGCCTGCCATTCTGGAATCTGCAAGTGCTCCCTTAACTTCTCAATGTCATCAATAAGATCCCATGTGGTGTTCTGTTCTAAGCAAGCATGGGGTGTACTTTTTCCTGCACCTCGCTGACCAAGAAGGCATTTATCATCATGCAAAAGTATAACATATTATTATAACATACAATCTGAAACAAACCTGATCAAATAGAATAATTCTATAAAATTCAGGGTCAAAAAATCTCCGATTACTCGGTGAAGTACCACCTCCAGGGCCCCCATGAAGGAAGACAACAGGCTGCAAGAACAATGCTTCATTGTGATTAACCAATTTTTTTTTTCATGGTTCTTTTCTTTTGGTAAGTCAAATGATTGGAATATAAAAACAATGGAAATGAATCAAATCAGAAAAAACAGTCAATCCAAATTATGAATAGAAAGCAAAAGGAAAAAGGAAAAAAAAAAAAAAACAACGCTAGATCCCTTCATTCAAGTGTGTGTAAATGGGCTTTAACGGCCAACAAACCCTTGTTTCATGTCCACCCCAAACATGGTTTCAATCGCAAGTAGAATCAGACGTGGTAACTTATGATAAGCGAACCAGAATACCAGCCAACAAGTTACTCAAAATCCTTCCCAAACCCTAACAAGCTATCAGAATTAAAGAATGCATAAAAAGTCCATAAATTCACAATAATCCACTCAAGATACTGTCACCAAGCACTAAAAGTGAGTACGGTATTTCATAATGTTTTCGATGGAAACGGAATCTTTTTCCAACTCTGAAGCATGCATTGATATCCAATCAAGAAAAGGACACCAAGTGTTCACAATTGGCTACCTTCCATTTTACAGGATGATCCACGAAATAATTTAACATTGAAAGCTCGCTCAGTTGCATCAGAAATTAATATTTAATAGACTCATTAACTTAACAATAGAATCATTGACAGCTATATTCCTAACCCAGTCAGCTGCAGCCTCAATCGAACAAGCATACAAGCTCAAAATACAGTTTCAAAAGTTAAACTCCAAACAAAACTAAACAAATTTTGCATTTTTAAGCAGCAAATAGAGCAGTTACTACTCACATGCCCATTCGGGTTTCCTGATTGCTCCCAGTAGATTGTGTGAAGATCCGAAACCTTCAAAAACCCTGTACTATAGGGCTCTATAAGTGGGTAAAGATTTCTGTTAAATTCCGGAGATTCTTGCTCTGAAGCCATCGAATAACTGGGTATCAGTTCACTTTTATGATGAGTATTTTGCGCACACAAAATCGAGTCCTTTCTCCCTACACAACCATATAAAAGAACACAACTTTCAGCAAATCCAACCAAAAAAAAAAAAAAAAACTCAAATAAATTGAAAAACCTCCCAGCATCATGTGAAGAAAGTATTTAAATGGTGATCACCATGAATAACTAACTAGGAGTGTCAGCTTTCAAAAAACAAAAAAGAAAACTGGAATCTAGTAGCCAAAGAACTAGCATCCAACAGAAATTTAACAGAGACTCATCAAACAGCATTAAATAATTAAAAAAAAATCTAAAAGAAGGAGAAGGAGAAGGAACTCGGGTGGAGATATATGTATACACAACACACCTGAACCTGAGGAAGTGATTTTGTTAGGTGAGGATTGAGCAGAGAAGGGATGAGAAAGAGGAAGAGTGAAAAATAGGCGAGGTGACGAGGAGGAATTTAAAATGGCGTTCGGAACAAAACCCAACTTCATCGTTGGGATTCTCGGGAGTATCACATGCGCATCCTATAAAGTAACAATAACAACAGTAGCCCATTCGTGAATTCGGGGCCCTTAAACGACAAATGACCAATGATCTTGTCTTGTTGTGAGATATATAAAAATCCATAACTTGATTATTCCTTGCGTGCATACAAGCTAGGAATAATTTTTATGTCTGATCCCAAATTCCTGATTAGACAGGTTATTCCTTAATTAAAAAAGTCTTATAAAGTTGTACTGAACTCATTGGCATCATGAATAGTTATAGGAAAAATGACATTAAAAAAATTTAAAAATTACAATATTTCAATTCAGGCATATAAGAGTTCAAAATATCAGAGAAAGAAGTGGTGTCTGATCTGACATTTTACAAATATAATCAAATGACTAAAATATTGTTATATTAATTTTTTAATAAAATATCAAATTTATCGTTATCATTAAGTTTCTTATCATTAACTGTTTAACACTTATCATTATCAGTTCACAATTTATTAATAAATAATTTGTCATTTTTAGTACATTTCTTGTTATTTGTTGTTCAATATTTGTCAGTTTACAACTTGTTAATAAACTTTTTGATACAAAAACATTTTTATCATTTAACTATATTTGTAAAACAACCCACCAAGCATTATTTTCTCCTCTGGGATTTTGAAGTCTTAAGTACTTGAATTAGAATATTGTAATTTTCAACTTCTTTTTATGTCATTTTTCTATCAGAAATATAAAATTCATTTTACAATATATTTGCATTATAAATATATATCTAGCACCAGAAGTAATATCAAATAAAACTCATTTCATATATTTATTTTTTTGAATATGAAAATATATTTTACAACTAATACAAATAGGTATTTGCGTGACTGTTTGATCAATTTTATTACTTTTATGTTATATAAGACGACTCTTTTCAAGTCCTGAATCCATCGTCTTAAAAAAAAAAAAATTTAAACTGAGTTGAAAATTTTTGATTCTCTTCAGCCAAACTTAGATTCTTCCGCATGCCCTGACAGAGTGGCTCATCAACCTCAATCAAATAAGCAAACAAGAGGAGGAGGAGGAGGAGGAGGAGGAGGAAGAAGAAGGAAAGAATTGTCCCAATTGGATCATAAGATTATTCTTATTATAAATTGGACTAAGCCTCCTCTTAATAGATAGACCCTTAGTTCATGAAAAGTTGACGCAATGTTTGGTATATGAAAAAGTGTTTTATTCTAAAGCGAAAATCAAAATGAACATACATATTAATCCTAATAGAAGAAATTCTGGCTACTTAAATAAGAGATCTCAAGTTCGAGTATAAAACCATTTTTGGAAAAATCCTCCATGTAGCTATGTATATACATATATATATACGCATATTAAAAAATGGAGAAAGAAAATAAAAAGAAAAACTTTTCTACGTACCAAATATTAAGGTTGTTCAATGGTGAAGAAGCGTAATTCTCAGTCCAGTTCTAATTATGTTGCCTTTCCAGGAACCAGAAAAAGTCAAGATAATAATTTATTCTTTGTGACATAATAATAATTATATATACATATATATATATATATAGGTCCTGCGACTTGGCTGTAACAAAAAGACTCACATTTTATTCCAAAATTCACCAAACAAGAAGAAGCTCTAATAATAATATTTAGAAGAGTAGTGTAGCTAGTTGGATTGAAGGAGTTCCCTGAGCCATTCCAGATTGAGGGAGCCCTCTTCTTCGGAGAAATTAAAGAACTCATCATCATCCACATAATCAAAATGGAGCTTTGATGAGTCAATATTTGAATTATCTTCTTCCACCACCATTATGATCTCTTCTTGTTTATCTTCTCTTTTATCTGGGCGCAATACATCACTTGGCTTCACCTTCTTGCACAAATGAGAGTTCCAGTAGTTTTTTATTTCATTATCTGTTCTTCCTGGTAATCTTCCCGCAATTAAGGACCACCTTATAAAATTACAAAAGGTAACATGTTGTTAAGCCGACATTCGTGATTGATTAAGCCTATTCTAATAATTACCTCTCACAAACAATAACATTATGGAGTACCTTAGCTTTTGGACTACTTGAGGTGTAAAAAGGAAATCTATAATAGAACATACTATCTCAGGTACTTAATATAAGATCTCGTTTGACTTTTATTTTGATCCTAAATATAAAACCCCAATCCACTTTGTCTTTCATATTTATCTATTTTTTCTAAGGTAATCCTTCTAATAATAGTAGTTCTAGCTAATGCACTTGATTAGTAAGGATATTTTAAAAAACACAACGCTTATTTATTATAAATAACGAACTTAACTTATTTTCTTAATCTCCTTAAATTAGTCAACCAACTCTTATATTTAGGACTGGAAGTAGTATATCAAATATGGCCTCAAGCTGATGTGTAAAGGGTTGTTTACTTATTACAGTGAGCATATCAAGGAGAACCCAATGCACGAGACATCCCGGGCTCACACATAGGCCAGGGAAGGACCGGATCCCATAGTATTTGATAGGCAACCTTATATAATTTGATTATTGAAATTAAATCTTCTTACCCTCATCTGTGGCTTTAGCTGGTCAAAGGGTTGGACTCTCTCACCAAAAGGAGGGGGTTCGATCTTGAGGAGTGCCACTTTGTTATGGCTCCAGTCGCGGTGCTGAGGGAGGCATCACCACAATGTAGTGAATCTGGGAGATTCCTACCTATTGGGCCAAAAAAAAAGGACTTGCTTGTCATGCTCCCATGCCCATAGGGATAGGTCCTAGTAGATTAAGCATTAGGTTTCATGTCCTTAGATCGTGAGTGAGCCTAACCGCTTTCCTAAAATTTGTATTAAAAAAAAAATCTTCTTACACTAAATAAAATTAGTTGTATTTCCCTGTATGATTTTTTTCTTTTGGATACAAATTTCCCCGTATGATTTAACCTAAAGTAATTTATAACACTTGTCTACATTACATTTGTAGTGATATCAACTAGTTTTTAGCTAGCTAGAAGTCACAATGAACTCCCAATGTAACTATGCTGGATTGAGTCACATTTTAACATCGTTAATCTACATCTATTATTTTGAAAACGGATATAATAAAAAAAGCGGTTGCATTTTTGAAATTACGAAAAGGCATTTTTTGCTTTGCTTAAAAAACATGCGTTGAAAAGCTATTTTACATCTGTACGTTAACATAGCAACCAGATGTAGAAAGCAATGCTAACACCAAGTCACCTGTTTCCGAGGAGTTTATGAAGGCGAATTATCAAGTCTTCTTCTTCCTCTGATATGTTCCCTCTCTTAATGTTAGGCCTCAGATAATTCAACCATCTTAGCCTGCAACTCTTGCTACTCCTATTAAGACCTGTATATAGAAATCAAAATCCAATAAGCTTCATCATTCATCATTTTTATATAAAATTTCAACTATAAAAACTGTAAAAACTAAACAACAAGCTCAGCTCTTTCATATGCAGAAATTAAAGAGAAGAAATCTGACACCTATGTATCCGGCTATCCAATATTATGTAAAAGAGTCTGTTTGAATATCGCATAGAATCTGCTACCTTGTGAAGAACTATCCGTGTATATTCAGAAAATTATAAAAACTCACAAGAATGTGTGTGTGTGAGAGAGAGGGGGGGAGAGAGAGAGTGAGGATGATGATGATACCTGCTCTGGCTGCTATGAACTTCCACCTTTGAGCTCCATGAAGCGCAATAGCCTGAGCTAGTTTTGAGTCTTCTTCTGGAGTCCAAGCTGCCTTGCAGGTAGGCACGTTTGGAATTGCTTCCGATGGCTTCATAACTTTTCTCTTTATAGAAACATCAGACCTAGAAGCCATTGTTAAGTTCTGCTAAATTAGCACCTTTTAGATACAAAATAAGACAGTGAAAGAGACACACACAGATTGATTTTGTTGTACACTCAGATTTGGTGGATGTGAAGAGAGAGCTTCAAAACGCACAGGCTGTTATATATAAAACATGCCAATATAAGTTCCTCAAAAAAGAGAACTGCTTCATGAGATTGATGATTAAGCCCTAGATTCCTATGTTCTGCGAACACTAAAGAAGTAATGTCTCTCACTGTGTATACGACAACCTAAGTGGCTGCTACAATACATGCATAGTCTAGTACTATCTCTGGTCTTTAATATAAAAGCTAGTTAACTAATTTGAGTAAATTAAGAAAACTAATTAAATAAGTTATTTGTAATAACTAGATGTTATCTTTTCTAAAATATCCTTATTAATAAAGTGTATTGGTTAGAACTACCATTATTACAATGACTATTTTGGAAAAAAAAAAGGATCAATATAAGAGACAAAGTGGATTAGAGTCTTATATTTATGACCAAAATAAAATTCAAATGAGCTCTTATATTAAAGATCACAGGTGGTATAAAACACAAGAGTGCCTAAAAAGATCATTAAAAATAAGAAGAAAAGTCCTCTTTATGAGAGATAATTAGCTGTTGAACATGGGAATGTCTACATAAAATAGGTTTATTAAAAGAATTATAATAAGAACCTCTTTTAGAAACCAATAGATTGACGATATGACCAAGGTATCTTTTGTCGTATCTGTTGTCAAAAGGCAGATATATATTTAGAACAACTCGTATGATCTGAGTTAGTTATTTTACTTATTCTTTCAAAAAAAATCAAAAAATTTCTATTTCTTAATGAGAAAATTCAGTGAATGATTATGGCAAGAAGCTTTCAGTAAGTAAATTTTCAATTTCTTGTAATGTATATGTATTAACTATATATGAATTTTCAATTAGTTAATTATCGGTTAGCTTTCTACGGCTAAGCTTAATTTTAAAGGGAGAGTAGGATTTCCGATTTCCATCATGGGAAAGTATATGGAATCACAATCTCACTAAGGGCATATGTTTGATAGGGAAGAAAATAGTTTTTAACAAATAAACATAAAGAAGAATCTCTCGTGCTATACACACACACACACTCTTCTGGTCCTATTTATAAGACAAATAGATAAGTAATTTTTTGGTCTTATTTGTAGGATAGAGAGAGAAAATTTTCATATAAATGAATAATTTTACATTTCATTTAATATTGTATTGACTTTATTCTAATGAGGTATAATGTATATTAAATAGGGATAAAATTAAAAAGTTATTAAATTTTAAATGAGAGTTAATGAAGTTTAAGGTTTTTTGTGAAATATGTTGAAAGTAACTTATAAATAAGACCAGAAAAGTATTTGGTAGCCATTGTAGTTTTTATAATTTAGAAAGTTCATTTTCATCAAATATAAAGAAGAGCATTTTATCAAAATGCTATATAGTCAAGGAAATGGCGCCACTTCTCTTGATAATGACAATAACGTGAAGGATTAAAATAAGCTAGCTCTTAATAGTTTCAAACAAATTATCTGTATTTGTTTACTATGTCATTTAATAAATTTTTTTAAAAATCATGTTGAAATATTTTTTTTTCCCAATTCATACCAAATCTGTAAAGCCTCAGAACTTTGGTTTTCGTAATATACAGCTTCGTATACAGCGTTTTCTTTTTTAACGATAGTTGATCGTTCATTTCAATAATTATATGCCCATTATATATATGCCTATATATATACACATTAGACATGTGAATATTATATATACATATATATATATATATATATATATGGCCAAGCGTTAACTTGCATATACGTAGATCAGAGACCACCAGGACCAGCTGGTTGCTCTTCATTCGCTTCCTTCATAGATTGTCTCAAAAGATTCCTTCTTGAATCCAGAGCAATATTTCAATATATTATATTTCAATTTCAATCTAATTAATACATTATTATATATAATTCACACTACGCCATGTTTAATTTTATTCTAATTATATATCACTTCACTTGTAAATGAAAGATTCCTATATGTTTACATTTTTTTAAATTAATTGCGTGATTTCATAATTCATCGTTTGTGCGACAGCAGCCTGTTAATTTGTATGTATATGGAAGCAAATATTCCTTCCAGACTTACAAACATATAAAATAATAATAAAAGGGGTGAAAAAAAAACTACAATTTGATATGCAAATTGAAGTTTATCTATAATCAATTTTACAATCTCACGCTTCTCACACTTCTTGGAATGATAAAAGGTGCACAAAAGGAGGCCGTTTTCAGATTTCTTTTTATTTTCTTTCATTGAAAAAAAATGTAAGAATTAACAATTGAGAGAGGAAGAGAGCTTCCAAGGAGGAAGGCACAAAGCATACAAAGAGTGAATGAGAGAGTTAACACCACTTATGCACTCATCAGTCATGCAAAATCAGTAATTGTTCACTTCACTTCTTGTTATCATTCTTAAAATTAATTTGTAGGTAATAATAATTTCATCAATTATAGGCATTAACCCCAATATTCATATATAAACTGTTAATTACGGCTGATATATGGATGCTTGTAATTGTTTTCTTGCATAAAATTTATTCATTATCAATGTAATAAAAAATTATAATACTTATAATCGTTTCCTTGCATCAATATATAATATATAATCTAGTTGGTTTTGATTTTATTTAGCTTCATGTGGTATTATCAATCTAGATGTATGTTGAGTGAGGGTCACATCATCAACATCTACAAATTAATAGGTTATGAGCATAGGGACCAATGCCTATAATTTAAAAAACTATAAGGATCTAATAAAAAACCTAAAAGGACTTGATTGAAAATAATGTGAAACTACAAAAGAACTGCACAAGAAAAAAAAAATTTCTATTTTGGGTGCATTATGTAAACAAAAAAATAAGCAAAAATTAATTTTTAATTTAAAAATAAATAAATTTGTATTCAACATAAAATATGTATTCTTAAATAAGGTTTTCGAAACCAATGTTATTTGAGTCAGGTGGAAGTGAATCAACTGGTCAAAAATGTGTGTAGAAAAAGCTGTGTTTTTACAAACCAATATTCGTTTTAAGAGTATTTTAATCATATATTTGAACTCAAGAGAACTTGCAAATAAATATTAGTTTAATTTAATTACTTTAATAACAATTAAAAAAAAGCTCTTAAATCAAGCAGAACACACAGTGTTGTTTTACTCTGCGTCTCTATCCATGAGTAATCAATCCCGTGAATAAATTATAAGTCTCATTTTCAAAATCCATCGCCTTTATATGATCTAGCAGTATATAGCTGAGGAGCTTCTTCTCCCACAACAAGTTAGAGAAACCTTTTTCACAAAAGTGCTTATACGTACAACAAAACCTCTCTGTCTCTTTCAATGTCATATATTTTCTTTCTAAAAGGTGTCCACTGAAAGTTTCTTATAATGGCTTCAACAATTCATTATTCCATAAACGGCAAAGTGAATCCACCTGAAGCCAACACAAAAGTTCCTCCCAAAAAGGGAGCTTGGACGCCACAGGAAGACGCCAACCTAGCTGAAGCAATCGCACTTCATGGAGCCAAAAGGTGGAAGTTCATTGCAGCTAGAGCAGGTAGGATATGATCATGAGTTTTAGGGTTATATATATATATAGTTATATATATACATATATAGTTCCTCATATATATAATATGTGTGTATACTGTTTTAATCCTTGATGGGTACTGATTCTGTTAATCGAAAAACTGCATATATCTTTAGGTCTGAGTAGGAATGGGAAGAGTTGCAGACTGAGGTGGTTGAACTATCTGAGACCTAATATCAAGAGGGGGAACATATCAGAACAAGAAGAGGATTTGATACTTCGGCTTCACAAACTCCTTGGAAACAGGTTAATTAGAACCATTTGGTGTCACAGATTATGATAAGTGTATATAAATACAATGTTATGAGTCTGTATTGGGAAAGCCCATCAAAGGGCTCTCCCTTCTAATAATAACATAGTTTTTGGAGATTGGACTCTCTTTACATTGAAAGTTTGATGTTCATAGAGAAGGCTACCCATGAAGCAGTCCAACTGAAAGGGATTTGGAAAGTTAGCTGACCTTTACTTTTTTTCCTATTTCTCAAATGTTTTTGTGGTTTCTTTTTATTATTAGATTCTACATAAAATGAATGGCATTTTAATATATTATTTGCAAAAAAAATGGTGCACTTTTCAATTTTTTTAATGAATTTTCATTTTATATAGAATCTAATAATAAAGAAACCAAAGAAAAAATATTTGGGAAGTAGGGAAAAATTAAGAGGCCGCAAAGGGTGCAGCTGATACCCCAAATCCGACCGAAAGGAGGTTGAGTGAAGTATTACAGTGTAAAGTAGCCGAGGGCGAGGTTCTTGAAGGAAGTGCATTGTTATGAGTTTATATCGGGAACCAATCAGAGGGCTCTCTCTCCTAATATAGTAGTTTTTTGGAATCAAACTCTTCTTTTAGACTGTGTTCATATCATACAGTGCCCATGTAATTAAGTGATTGAAGCATCGATTATTATTTTGTAGGTGGTCTTTGATTGCTGGAAGGTTACCAGGACGAACAGATAATGAGATAAAGAACTACTGGAATTCTCATTTGCGCAAGAAAATGAAGCTGCAGAAAGAGAAGAAGATCAATCAAATAGAATGTTCAAGGAGAGAAGATCACAAAGACGAACAAGGGGTGGCGATGGTGGAAGATATCCAGCTTAATCCTGCAGAAGAATCAGAGCCAACAGTAGAAGAAGGTGATCAAGAATATTCAACCAAGTCCCATTTTTATGAGAATGGATTCTTTAGTTCCTTCGATGAAGGTCCCTTAAATTTGGAGTGGGTTAGTAGATTCCTAGAATTGAACTAGCTTGACGTACGTAAATGTACGGGCAGATTAACTTTTGGATCGTCATCTCCTTAAATCTTCCATAACATCTTAGTACTACCATGAAATATATATCACTGATGTGTTCCTTCTTTTGTTATAGTGATGTAGCAACTTCATTGGAGTTTGATAACTTTTTGCGACGAGAAAGGAGTAAAATAGTACTATTATAAGTAGATTACATTGTTCTTACCAATAAAGATTGGGTCTAGCTGAAGAAGTTGCTGTTTTAAACAGGATTGTTTCGCATAAGAAGATATCTATGTCTAACAAAAAATGAATAAATATAGTTATTAACATCAGCTTTCCTTAGTTATTTAAAAACCTAACTAGATGCTCATTTTTACTTACACTTATTTATAAAAATTTCACTCTCTTTTTTTAACATTTTTGCTTCATTTAGCCACACCTTTGGGGAGAATGTTTGTACTGCTGATTTCCTAGCTAAGTCCTTCCACACTATGAAAGGGAATTTTTGTACTGTTAATCAACCTCCACCTCTTATGCAACTAGAGGAGGAGTTTGATGATGAGACCTAGGCCTGATAGCTTTTGTACTGTTTTATGATGAATCCAGTTCTTCATTCAAAAAAAAAAAAAAGGTGACATAGTGACTACATATTTTCCTGTAGTATAACCAATGATCTCAAATTCAAGTCCTAAGCATGTACTATCTCCGATAGTTAATATAAGAGCTAATTTAACATTTAATTTGGCCCTAAATATAATACTTTAATCTATTTTGTCTATCATATTTATCTATTTTTTTAAAATAGTCTTTATAATAATTGTACATGTCAAATAGTAGTTCTACCTAATACACAAATTAGCAAGAGTATTTTAGAAAAGATAACATCTATTTATTACAAGCAACCAACTTAACAAACTTTCTTAATCCAATCAAATTAGTCAACCAACTCTTATATTAAGAATCAGAGGCAGTAGTTGTTAAGTATGCTTGACAAGAGAGCTTGTCGCCCCAGGTGGTTCACATATCCGGTGCAACCCGGGGGGGAACAAAAAGATTATCATTGTGTATATACACACACAAACATATTAAGAAAGCTATCATTGCGCATATGCTTGTTAAAACAAGATGACTTGTCGCGAATTATTTTCATTAATAAAATAAAATAAAATCGTACAAAAATAATTCATTTGTGTATATATATTGCCAATGAAGGGAGTAATCATGTGTGTTCTTCAACATGCATGCACATGGACATACACATACTACAAGATATTCCCCTGCTTCCTTTGCCACAGATTGTTTCAAACATATTGACCGCGTACATATTCTCATCGTTATGTATTTTTATTATGTATATTATACAAAGAACATGAGAATTAATGAACTATATATATATAATAATATACGCAAGTTACACAAGAATTTTACTTGCTGTATTTGCCACGCATGCTTGACAAAAAGATCACTTTAATTTATTATGTATATATTTCGATCGACACTGTATTTTTAAACGCAAGAGATTCTTGTTAATTAATCAAAACTATTTTAATAAAATAATTTGGAAGTATTAAACCTTCCCTTGCATCTCCATTTTTGTGAGTTTTTATTAATTTATTTATAAAACTAACTCATTTATGTAACATGTATATGCATACATTTTTTTTTTTTTAATTTTCTGTGAAAACATTGTTATCTCGATCATTTTCGGCAGTGCACATCTTTTTATGTTTCCTTTTTTAGAAATATGACTAAGCTTTTTTCTCATAACACCACAACATAATAGCCTTTCTATTTTAAAACACATGCCATGTGCGAGATAGCAAATCAATATAAAATATCATCTCCAAGGGCTTTCTATCTTTGAACAACTTTTGCTGTCCGAATTAATTTAGTTAAGTGTGTTTGTGTTTGTGTAATTTCACTTATTAATTTAGATCCTGCAACGAGAATACACGATAAAAACGACTTTCTAGATCAGACTTAGGACCAGACTGGCTTAAAAAAAAAACCGGCATTTTTTGGACCGGTCAAACAGCCCATCTAGGAGGAAATTGTTTTCTAAATCAGTTGTTAGTGGATGTGACTCTACACAATCTAAGATGTTGTACTACATCCAGTCTTTAGTAGGAGAATAAGATAATTAATTTTACCAATATTAAAAAATTAGTTAAATTAATTATTTATAATAAATGAGTATTATTCTTCTCTAGAATACCCCTATTAGTCATTTGTAATATTGAAACTGCCATTTAATAAAAAAATATTAACATGTATAATTAATATATGAATTATTTGGGAGCAAAATGAATAAATATTAGACACAAGATGAATTAAGATCTTATATCTAAAATCAGATTAAATATTTAACTAACTCTTATATTAAGAATAAGAGATAATGCTGTATAGTCAATAAATACAAAATCTTAGAGGTGTTGAAGTTGATTGCTCATATTTCACACGAAACAAACAAAATCTATTGCACTATTTATTATAATCAATAACATATATACTCTGCAATATATATAGTATCTCTGGTCTTTAATATAAGACCTTGTTTAACTTTTATTTTGGTCCTAATTATAAGACCTCAATCCACTTTGTCTCTCATATTTATATTTTTTTCCCTAAGATAACCCCTTTAATAATGATAGTTCTAGTCAATAAACTTGTTTAATAAGGATATTTTAGGAAAGACAACACCTATTTATTACAAATAATTAATTTAACTTATTTTTTTAATTTCCTCAAATTAGTTAACTAGCTCTTACAATCAGAAGGTTGTGTGTGTGTGTAAATTCATATACATATGCATTTGCATATACATGTATAAAATATGGACAAGTTGAAGAGCAAAACCAATGATGTTTATTCTTCAAGCACAAACACACACGTAGCACAAGATATTCCACTCCTTTCTTCATAGATAGTTCCAAAATATGTATCAAATTCAAACCTACTGCACCATATATTATAATCAATAGCGCCTTGTTTTAACCTCATATTATATATACAGAACGCAAAAATAATCAACTGAGTGTAAACTAATTATACTTGTTAATTACATCGCTATAAGTTAATCATATGTGTGCATAATAACAAAAGATATCTTACTTTTATCGTCTCTATTTTTAATTGCAAAAGATTCTTGTTACATAATACTTTAATGATAAAAGATAAAAAATAAAGAGGCTTTCATGCATGATGAATCACTATCTTCAAAAAATAATTACCTCAATATAATGGAAATCACGGATATATTACCCATCCAAATTACGATAAAGCCTTATTTTGCCTATGATAGAAGGAAATTATTAATTTTATAAATCGTGCATGTTTAAAGATTGTCTTCCGTTGAGGCCTTAGAGGCTAATGACATCTACCAAATATTTCTTTTAGGTCTTCTTTTTTTTTGGCCAGCCTTTTAGGTCTTTTTTTAAATGCAAGGTTGTGAGTTGGAAGTCTCTTTAGAATATGATGGGTACGTAAATTATGATTAAAAAAATTGTCCTACAAAAGAGTCACACCTTAAAAAAATTTTCATGAATTCGTTGGAAAGTTATACCTTTTAAAACAGTTCATGAATTTTTCCAAAAGAATTCATTGAACCCAAATCCAGGTTTCAAATTATTTCAATCAATAATATTTAGCCCATACCAATTCATGTGCAAAAAGGGGCTATGCTGTTCAAGATCCAGCCAAAGTTCTTCCTCATATATGCTGAATTTGCATATATTGGTATATATCTTTATAGTGAACTATTTTATAAATAACCGACAGAGATATAGATCTTAAGTACATGCTTATAATAATATTATTAAATTTTTTAAATGTTTGATGTGATAAAGTAAAAATTTTTAACTAATTAATGAGTTACAATTCCGAACACAACGTTTTTGAGTTTTACTCATTGCAAATGAAAGGAAAGTTCATTTAATGATAAACCAAGCACCAATTTAGATTCTGAATTTTGTGAATATGGGCTTTGCATAGATTTCATGTTATACTTCTCCGGAACCTTACTATAAGAGTTAGTTGACTAATTTAAATAGATTAAGAAAATTAGTTAAGTTAATTATTTATAATAAATAGGTATTGTCTTGCTTAAAATATTCTTACTAATCAAGTATATTAGTTAAAATTATCATTTGATGAAACCTTTAACACGCATAACTACTACAAGGACTACATTAAAAAAATGAATGAATATGAGAAACAAAGTATATTAGAATCTTATACTACCTCCGGTCCTGATTATAAGAGCTAGTTGACTAATTTGAGAATATTAAGGAAATAAATTAAGTTAATTATTTGTAATAAAAAGATATTGTCTTTCCTAAAATATCCTTGCCAATCAAGTGTATTAGCTAAAGCTACATTATTAGAAGGACTATCTTAGAAAAAAAATGCATAAATATGAGAGACAAAGTGGATTGAAGTATTATAATTAGGACCAAAATAAAAGTCAAACGAGGTCTTATATTAAGGACTGGACGTAGGATTTAGGACCAAATTGAATGTTAAACTAACTCTTGTATTAAGGACCATATATAGTATTTAGGTAGGTTTAGGTTAATGCCATCAAGATCAAATATCAATTACTTTCAAAAAGCTATAGACACTTACACGTGTCATTCACACCCTGCCATTCCAATTACGCAGAGAAAAAGTCAGAAAGACTGACGTATAAGGAAAATTATTGTCCACGTAGTACAATCTACAAGCCAAACCCTCTATCCCAGTCTCACCTCTAGATACTTCAAATTTTTTTACACTTTGACTTTGCAGCCTCACTATGATTTCCCAAGGATTCTTGATCTGATAAATTTTCTTTTCTTTTCCCCCTAATCAGTGCCTTTATTGTGGAACTAGTTTAGCCATCTTTAGTCACAACAACATCAGTCAGAGTAGATGGTGCTGCCTCTTCCAGCATTTGAACCACCATTCTCATGGAAGGTCTTGAGTATGGAACCTTCACAGTGCAGAGTGTTGCAATTCTCAGAACCTTCATGGCATCATCTTTGAAATGCTTTGGAATTGTGGAATCCACTAGTTCAGCCATGTCTTCTATGGTCCTCTTGTTGCCGCATACCCAGCGGACTACGTCCTTGTTTTCTCCAAACTCCGATTCATTCGGCTTCTTCCCCGTCACCAACTCCATTAGAACTACTCCAAAACTGTACACATCACTCTTCTCAGTCACCTTACATGAATAGGCATACTCTGTCATTTCCAAAATCAAGATGATCAGTTTTCAAGCACAGCAACCAGAAAATTAAGTTTGAAATAAATATATTAAACTGTAATTTTGGCTTTAATTCAAGGGGTAAAATGCATTTTCCACTTAATCATGTTACTCATCCTGAGCTCAAACACCTCAGTCTTGTATAACTTGTTCTTGCAGCTTGATGTCTATTACTTAAAAATGAAAGAAAAAGCAACCCATAAAATATGCCAAATTTATTGATCTGAGGCACCATAAAATAGCCCTTTTGTGAGGGGATTTCCATGGCATCAATGTTCTGAACCCAAAAATGAAAACTAGTCAATACAATATCCTAAGCTTTCTTGTATTTTGATCTCAGTAATATACCAAAAGACCCATATTCTCTTACTGGAATAGATTTTCTGCAGTTAAAAAAAAATTAACTGTCAATTCCTAGAGGATGCTATCTATTCTCACCCCCCCCCCCGGGGGAATATTTTTTCTGATCTACAAGGAAATGAAAAGCTTACCAGGAGCCATGTATCCAAGTGTTCCAGCAACAACATTTGTCCAATTGCCTGCTCCTCTTTGCACAATCTTGGCAAGCCCGAAGTCAGCAATCCTTGGCTTCCATTCTTTATCAATCAAGATGTTACTTGATTTCACATCTCTATGTATAACTGGCCTATCACACCCATGATGCAGATACTCCAATCCTCTAGCTGCTCCCAATGCAATTTCATACCTAACCTCCCAAGCCATAGGAGTTTTCTGGCAATTGTGCAGTTTATCCCACAAACTCCCATTCGGTAAGAACTCATAAACAAGAAGGCTACTATCTTCACTAGTGATGCTACAGTAGAGCTTCACCACATTCACATGCCTTATGGAGCTTAGAGCAGCCACCTCTGCATCATACTCTGGGGTACGGCAACTTCTTTTCAGCATCGCTGAGCTGCTTCGGCCACTTCCTGGTTCGCCTGGATTAGAACTCCATATGTGTTTGACTGCCAATTCTTTGCCACATTTCAGAACAACCTTGTAAACATTCCCAGATCCTCCCTTGCCAATCACATTTTCAGCCTTGATCCCTTCAATGACTTCATTTTCATTGAAGTTTATCACATGGTACTGCTTTAAATCCCAGGAATTAGTCTTCAAAGGCTTCTCCTCAAACTTGTTCTGCTTGAGTTTCAGGAAGAATATACATGCCAATGAAAGTAGCAGAACCATTATACCAGCAACCAAACAGAGTATAATGTTCCTAATTCGACTAGAGCCAGTGCTACCCAATGAACATGGCCTAAAATTTTCTAAAGTCTCACTGCATAAGCCAGGATTTCCCTTTAACCCATCTATGAATGCTGGAATAGAGAGTGAATCTGGTACTGGACCAAAAAAATTGTTGTTTGATAAATCAAGAAGGCTCAGTTTAAGAGATGACAAGCTCGACGGAATTTCTCCAGAAAGTCTATTGGATGACAAGTTTAATGAATTGAGGGTAGGCAGAGAGCCAAGACTCGTAGGGATTTCCCCAGAAAGCGAGTTACCAGCAATGTTTATTTCACTAAGAGAAATACAAGAACTTAAAGATTCCGGTATAGAGCCAGAAAAATTGTTTCCGTCCAACTTAAGACTACCCAATTTCTCCAAGTTTCCTATAGTATCAGGAATTTTACCAGAGAATTGATTTGAACTCAGCTTAATTGATACCAATGAAGAAGCTTCTGAGATTCCCGAGGGTAGCTGACCTGAGAACTTATTGTCAGATAAAAATAGCTGTGCAAGAGATTTTGCTTCAGCAATATCAGATGCCACTGGACCTTCAAACTGGTTCATTGAAAGGTCAATTATTTCCATATTTGGCAGGCCCCATAAACCCGAAGGAATACGACCAGAAAGCGAGTTTCTGTTAACAAGAAAACGAACCATAGCCGAACAATTCACATATGTTTCAGGTATACTTCCAGTGAAGCTATTGTTTAACATAGCTAGCTCGGTCATGTTGTTGTTCCTACACATGTCAGGGGGAATAGGACCAGAAAGAGAGTTATCAGAAACATCAATATATTGTAAGCCAGCCCGGGATCCAAGCTTTTGAGGGAGAGGACCAGTAAAATTATTTGCATAAAGAGAAAATTCAATGAGGCTTTTGAGATCTCCAAACTCAGTTGGAATTCCTCCAGAGAATCGGTTCTGAAAAAGCTGAAGAGAAGCTAAGTTCGTCAAGAACCGTAGCTCAGAAATATCACCTTCAAGCTGATTATTAGAAACATCCAAGTACACAAGACTTGTAAGATCACGAAATCCTATTGGGATTTTCCCAGTCAAGTAGTTGTCGTATAGCTCAATTTGTCTCAGTTTCTGAAGCTTTCCAATATCACTTGGGATTTCACCTGTCAAAAGGTTAGCAGAAAGCTCAAGATTCTCAAGCTGAGTCAGATTCCCAATACCCACTGGGATTTTCCCAGTGATGCTGCAATTTGTGAGGTAAAGCCAATACAATTTCTCAAGCTTCAATACCTCCACAGGAAAAGGACTTTTTTCAAATTTATTATCGCCAAGGCTTAAGAATCCAAGACTAGTTAGATTTTCCAATGATTTCCACGGAAATACCCCAGAAATTCCACTAGCATTCAAGTTCAAGTAGGTAAGCTTGATCAAGTTAGAGAACTCGGGCATTACCCCAGAAAAAGAATTCCCGCCCAAATCCAAATACTTCAAATTACTGCACTTCCTCAGGTCCTCACTGATGCTTCCGTGAAAGGAATTCGACCCCAGAGATAATTTCTGTAACGACTGAAGCCCGCAAAGTGAATCAAACCGAATAGTACCTCCGAGACTTTTTCCGGCGAGATTGATTTCTGAAACGAGTCCATTGGAATTGCAGATAATCCCAGTGAAGTTGCAGACAGAATTGGCTTCGGTCCAGGAACCAAAAACATCATCGGCATTTGAAGTTCGAACAGAGGACTTGAACTTAATGAGCATCTGAAGCTCATCCGACAGGGACAAACCAGCCAGGCAGAGAACAAAAAGAGTAAACAAAATCATGTGTGACGGACATTGCCGGGAAATATCTCCAGCGAACATGCCGGCGACGAAGGAAATAACAAAGAAGTGGTTGAATTTTAGTGGGTTTGGGTGAGAATGGAAAAGAGTGAAGAGAGAGAGAACAAGAGCAAGACTTGGGATTTGAAAAGTCCACCACGAGTAAGTAAACACAAGAAAGGATTGGAAATTGGAAAGATTGAAATGAAACGTGGAGACCGGAGAGATTCTGAGACAACGAAGAAGAAGAAGATTGGATCACGTGCTGATGACGAGAAGAAGGAAGGAAGAGTACGCAAGTTAAGGGGACAAAGGGGCGGTGGTTGGCCTGCGAAGAGACACACTGTATGGTCGTTGCTTGGGGAAGAGCAAGATTGTGTGAATCTTGCGATTTATTAATTGTTGGGATTTGCATTATCTTTTTATAGTTCTATTTATTCCTTAATTTTAGGAAATTTTTCAAGAGAAAAGTGGGGAGTATTATGCAAGAAAATATGCAAATTATATGTAAGATTAAGATTAAGAACTTATATTTTACTTTTTTTGTTAAGAATATTAAATATGATAATTCAGATTTAGAAAATTTTATTAACTTTCAATAATGTTAAAGAAAATTAATCTGTTTGTTCTTATAATTTGATTCATTATAATAAGGATGAATCCTTTAAATACTCTTAATTTCAATATATCGAGTTTCATGGATTTTATCCCCTTCATTTTATTCCACACCATTTTAGCGGCTATACATTTCTATAAATAAAACTCCATCAAGTTTACAAGTTAAAATTAACATATCAAATAATAAGGGTCCAATTCAAACAAAATGCTGGTAAAAAAGATTCAAATAAAATAAATTATTAGGGACCTGATTTACAATTGAGAGAAACAATAATAATTTTTAGTTTATTTTTTTAATAAATGTTATTACTAAATTGAAAAAAGAATTATCATTAAAATTATTTGAAGTCCTTCTTCAAACCAAATGAGTTCTAAAAGTAATTACATTTTAAATTTTTTACTCGTTATCATAACTTTGTAATTTAATTCAAATTAATTATATTATAAAGTTTTGTATGGCAAAAATTGTTATATTTCTCTTAGATTCAATTTGCCTATTGAACTTGGATAAGTAATAACTTGGATGGGTAGATATTTTTATTACTTGAACTTCTTACTTAACTTACTTGAATTTCTTGCTTAACTAAGTTCCACATGCATCATATTTATTTATTTTGAATATTAATCTATGTGAATTTCAAAACAGAAACAACGGGAAACATATATTGTATAAATTTATTTTTTAAAAAAAATACACTCCATTCATTACATTTTATAGGGTTTTTTTTAATAGTTTTATTTTTTACAAACAAGATGTCTTATAAAAAAAATAACGACACATTCATGATCTTTATCCCAAAATACACTTCATGTTTAATAGAATGTTGAAATTAAAGGCTTATGGTAATTGACAGTATTTTTGAAAGCCCATGCTTTTTTTTTTTTAAGAAAATAAGATTTCTAAGTATTTAATTGTCTTAATTGCTGTTTACAATTTTTTTTAAAATACCTCTTACTCTTAAGTGAAAAATCTTAATCTGTTTTATCTCTCATATTTATATTTTTTTTAAATTAATTTATTTAATTTATAAATCGATATATAATCTAATATTATATAGGGATATTTTTAAAAAATCACGTGACATTTGTTAGAATTTACTCCTTGCCGTTCTTTTATAAAAACCTGAAATTTGAATTGTCTTGATTTTTTTAATAAGAGCCTACTTAGAGTTATCTAAATATTTAATGTGTTTTTACCATTCTTGCCATTAATTAATTTTATACACTGTATTAATTAAAAGATTGACAACTTGGCATATTATCCTTTTTTTTTTCATATTTTTCTCATTATTACTATATTTCTCTCTCTTACTTTTTCTCTCATAAATAAAGGTATACTTGGGGGGAGTTCATTGCTTACATATTTATTACTTTTAAGTAATGTCAACTGTTTTTTAAACCATATAATTTAATTATCAAATTCTTGTAAAAAGTACAAGAGGGAGCAGCAACTTATTTAATTTTTTTATTCTATTAAAATTAATCAAATAGCTCTTATATTAAAGATCAGTTTAAAATTATAATACATGGGGGAGTAAATATTATTTGAGGTTAATATACAAATTTGTTTTAAAAGTTTTCACTCAAGAACAGCGCTGCTTGAGAAGTTTTTGTAGGTTTAATATCACCTCAAAAATTTCAAAACATAAAAATATTGTCCGGTCCAATTAAAAAACTAAAGTTGACTATTAAAAATTAACATTCACTATTAGCATTTATAACAATAAGGAGGGACAGTGCTCCTTATCAATATCTTCGAAGCAACATTAAACCAAAATAAATTCAAAACAAAATTACTCCTAAATAAAATTTTTAGGATAAATTTACACACTCAACTTTAATCCTATTATTTATGAGGCACGCAAAAAAACAAGTTTCTGCGCATGATATATACCGGCCCCCACCCAACCTGCCTTAGCTGGCTGGCAGCTTTATATTTGATTGACTAGTGGCAGTGGAGACTGGAGATGGCGGTCCGACTCATAACAAAAGCGCTCGTCGTTTACTTTCAAAAATGGAAAAGCTTGACTAAGTCGTTTTGTTCGGCCGCACAAATTGACTACCCGAAAAACGACATTCGATTTTTTTAAAGGGGGAAAAAAAGTAAGAAAATGACATTCAGAATCTCACTTTCACGAGATCTGCCACGTAGCAACGTTCCTCAGCCGATCTCTCACTAGATAAAACATTTCATTAATATTTTTCCCTTCTATAAAAAAAATCAATTAATTTTTTTTACAAAGTAAAATTATTCATTTTACGCAAATAAAAAAATAATACTTAATCCTTTTAAGATTATATCGTCTTCTTACAACGAACTCTTCTTTACATGCTGTTCTTATAATATACTCTCTTAATTAATTGAAAGTTCACTATTTCATTGGCTATTTTTGGAAAAATATAATCACTTCCTCAATTTAGTAAATAATTCATAAATAGGAAGAGTAGAACCTTCTAAAATTTGTTTGTAATTAATGGAAAAATTATTTTGCTTTATAAATACTAGAACCTTCATGTTTTACAAATAATTAACAGAGAAAGTATTTTATTGCTCAAAATATTTTTCATTATAATGAATTTAACTAGTAGTTTTTTATCTTTCTTTTGGTAAGAGAAATTTTTACTCCAGTTGGATTAATGTGCATATATAGTGTTACAATATATGAGATCAAATATGCCAAATATGAGAAAAATAAAGAAAAATTATTGCATATAGTTTCAAATATGAGTCAGCTTCTCTCACTCTCTGCTTCAAGTATAGTGGATAAATAATCTTCAATTAATTTACATGTACTAATAAAAATAATTAAAAATATTAAATTTATTATAAATTTCAAGTAATTTTTAATATTATATTAATATCTTTATTAACTACAATAAACTTAAACATCATATTAACTTGTACAGTCTCACTATATGGGTCTAGATTAGTATCAGCAAACGGATTAATTCTTTACAAGAAACAAGAAATAGATTCATTAACAAATCAAAACAACAAGAAATGTATTTATTATTCCTTGAAAATATTAAATGCCTTATAAGAAAGACCAATAATATCTGTTAAAAGATGTTATATAATAAGATTTCGAGGAAACATATAATACATAACGGATGGGGGTATATATTAATTATAAGAAAACTCCTAAAGAGCAGTTTATGTTGTAGGCCATGAAACTTTAAGTGTAGAGAATTTTAAAAAACAACAATTAAAAAGTTATATATAGATATATATCAGCACCTAATATGCCGCTAGAGTGATAACATGAATGTTAAATATAATTATGTATGTTGAATATGGGAGCATCCATACGTGACTTCACCGTTAAGTAAGAGCATCATTTAATGCTTATAATAATGATGATTCCACTAATACTCCTATAAAATATGATTATGATGATGATGAACAATGGTAGTATGCGTACGTTAATAACCCAGGACAGTGGAAATGTGCCTAATTTTATTGTTAATTAAAAATATAATGGTATTGCAAGGATTCTTCATTTTTTTTTCTTATACGGATTTTTCACATTTTGATTTACAGTGATTTTGGAGTTTTAAATTCTTTTTAGTAATTTTTTTCATAATGTGAACAAAGTTTCTCATTCTTTTAATTTATAACAAATCATGTTTTGTTTTTCCGGCTGCCTAATCAAACTTGTTTATTGGAATAATTCGTTGAGCATATATTCTTTTAGATTCACTTACAGAATTCAAAAGTTTTCTCTTTCTAAGAATCAAACCTAAATTTCTTAATATTTTTGTCATGACTTAATAGAGCTCGCCTCTAAAATTTTTTACACAATTAGTTCTCGCTTTTCATATCAATTACTCCTTCGTTTCTAAATATAAAATTCATTCTATAGTATAAATTACACTACAAAATGAATCTTATATTTAGAATCGAAGAAATATTATCTTTTGTATTCGTCATAAGAGGGGGAAACACAAGAATTTGGTTTTCTAATTTCATAGATTTTTTTTTCTGGTTAATATAGGCAAGTAATGACTAATTCTCTCTTCATCGGTTAAAAAAAATGACCAATTCTCTTTCATCATAAATTTTTTAAAGGGGTTTTAGATTGGTCATAAGACTTTCTTCATACACATTGCCAAAGATTAAACCTCCGACTGGATGTTTAAAGTAATTTCATAGAAATTTATATTTATACTAGCTTTTTGATGGATAATTTTACACACACATGAAGCAAAATTATAAAAGCAAAAAGTTAACATGCAAATCTATTCACAAAATATTTCATCAAAAGCACCCAACTTCATAAGTCTTTTCTATATATAAAAGTACACATAAAGTTATTAAAATGGTACAAAAATACTATGACCATTAAGTCATGTAAAGTTGACCTTTTAGCAAACAATTTAACTAAGAAAATGGTAACAAAATAAAGACGAAGTTTTCAAAATAGTGCAAAAATGGGTTTTGAGTAGCGATGATATTTTTGCACCAGCTAGAAAACTTTCTCTGTATTTTTGTACTATTTTCTTAATTTACATATTTGGTAAACGATCAACTTTAGTTGACTTTATGGTTGTGACATTTTTATACCATTTAAAAAACCTAATGTGTATTTTTGCACTCCAAAAAAGTTTTTGATACTTCGTATACTTCTGGCAAAATATTTTCTGGGTAGATTTGCACCTTAATTAAAGAAAAGACCAAAAAAAAAAATCAGATACATCATTCACTCTCTGTTGGAGTT